ATTTGTAATTTGACTTTAGTGAGAATCCTTTTTTTCGTCTTTTCAGCTTTGGCAAGTTTTCGTCTTCCCCGTTATTTTGCCTTTACGCCTGACGACTTCAAAAATATGAAATATCACATATATATTGTGTTTACATATTTAGATTTATTCAAGACCTGTTTACCAGAGAATCCTGCAAGCTGGTTAGACATCGAGCCTTTATCATAAACGCATCTTACATATTGGATATTGATCACATGACAACTCACATATTGGATATTGATCACGGGACCACTCACATATTGGATATTGATCACGTTATCACTTACATATCGGATATTGATCATGTGACCACTCACATATTGGATATTGATCACTGGACCACCCACATATTGGATATTGATCACGTGACCTCTCACACATTGGATATTGATCACTGGACCACTCACACTTTGGATATTGATCATGTGACCACTCACATATTGGATATTGATCACGTGATCACTCACATATTGGATATTGATCACTGGACCACTCACATATTGGATATTGATCATGTGACCACTCACATATTGGATATTGATCACGTGATCACTCACATATTGGATATTGATCACGTGATCACTCACATATTTCATATTGATCATGTGACCACTCACATATTGGATATTGATCACGTGATTACTCACATATTGGATATTGATCACTGGACCACTCACAAATTGGATATTGATCACTGGACCACACACATATCATATATTGATCACGTGATCACTCACATATTGGATATTGATCACGTGACCACTCACATATTGGATATTGATCACGTGATCACTCACACTTTGGATATTGATCATGTGACCACTCACATATTGGATATTGATCACGTGATCACTCACATATTGGATATTGATCACGTGACCACTCACATATTTGATATTGATCACGTGATCACTCACATATTGGATATTGATCACTGGACCACTCACAAATTGGATATTGATCACCGGACCAAACACATATAATATATTGATCACGTGATCACTCGCATATCGGATATTGATCACAGGACTACTCACAAATCGGATATTGATCACAGGACCTATCACATATCGGATATTGATCACATGATCACTCGCATATCGGATATTGATCACAGGACTACTCACAAATCGAATATTGATCACAGGACCAATCACATATCGGATATTGATCACGTGATCACTCACATGTTGGATATTGATCACTGGACCACTCACATATTGGATATTGATCACGTGATCACTCACATATTGGATATTGATCACTGGACCACTCACAAATTGGATATTGATCACCGGACCAAACACATATTATATATTGATCACGTGATCACTCGCATATCGGATATTGATCACTTGACCACTCACATATTGGATATCGATCACGTGATCACTCACATATTGGATATTGATCACATGATCACTCACATATTGGATATTGATCACATGATCACTCACATATTGGATATTGATCACTGGACCACTCACAAATTGGATATTGATCACGTGATCACTCGCATATTGGATATTGATCACCGGACCAAACACATATTATATATTGATCACGTGATCACTCGCATATCGGATATTGATCACTGGACCACTCACATATTGGATATTGATCACATGATCACTCACATATTGGATATTGATCACTGGACCACTCACAAATTGGATATTGATCACGTGATCACTCGCATATTGGATATTGATCACAGGACTACTCACAAATCGGAAATTGATCACAGGACCAATCACATATTGGATATTGATCACGTGATCACTCACATATCGGATATTGATCACTGGACCACTCACATATTGGATATCGATCACGTGATCTTACATATTGGATATTGATTACATGATCACTCACATATTGGATATTGATCACGTGACCAATCACATATTGGATATTGATCACTGGATATCTATCATGTTGTATATTGATAACAGAGTCCGTAACATATTTGATATAGATGTCGAGGCCTCTTATATACATATATAGTGATCACGGGGTCATTTTTTGTGCACAGTGTCGCTAATATGGCTTCCTGCTTATCAGGTATTGATACTAGTTTTACTAAAGTCATATAGCTCAATCGGCATTACATTCTTTTTAAAGGTGTGCGAGGTAATTAAATCATTAGTTTGAAAAGACACTTACATTCATGATTATGTGTTTCAACACCATTGAACCATTATTTAGGGTATGATTTTTCCTGCACACCACGAGAAATATTATTTTCTCGAGTTTACAAAACCTCGTATTCGCTTGAAAAAAAGAGAAGAAAATACCAACATGTCAACTTAATCATAATCCAAACTTAAATCCAATAGAACTTCGGGAAATCATGAACAAGAGATGGATTTACACGGAGACTTCTGAATAAGTACAATGAGAATAAGACCAGGTATTCCGAAATAGGAATCGTTTTCTGTTTTATCGACGGCACCGGCTGTGTAATGATTTGGTTTACTCCAGGTAAGTAATGTCACGTTCTCAAATGAGAACAAGATATACAACAAGCGGGTCCAGGCAGGGCCCTGGTGGGGGGATCAGAGGGGCAAAGTCCCCCAACGGAAAATGAATTTCATGATTTCAAAGATGTTTTGAATCGTTTTCTGAGACAGTTTTTGTTTTATTTATTTAACAACAAACTTCAACCCCTGACTACATAAAAGACTTTATTTTGTTTGAAAAAAAAACTTGTCGGTCGACGTCTGTAATCCAGAAGCGTTCTTCATTTTGAAAATTTGCACTTTAACAACATTATAATCGGAAACGTTGAAATGATAGTAAGAAGTAGAATAATATGACTTGTATAAAGTTCTGGAAAGCAATGCACTAGGCCTAGTTATTCAACAATTTTCTATTTATGTTTTTTTATTTATCAAAAAAAAATAGATATTTATTTTCAACCTTAGTTTTGTAATTTTGTCCGACATACTCTATGCACGGAATTTTTTTATGTGTAAGCCCGGACTTTTTCTTTCTATGGAAGCTACGCCTCTGAACAGGCAAACTAACGATCATCAAACACGTCCAGCTTCATGTCGTGCAGAGAAAGAGAACAGTTCTCAACGAGATCACTATGACGACCGCAAAATCCCCCATAATTTTCATCAACCTCCAGCTTTTGAAGCCCTGTGTTTCGAGTTTGTCAGTGAGTTGACGACTTCTTGCATGGAAATCGTAATGATTGGGACGGCCCTTGAATATCGAACCGACTGCGGAATATAAATACCATAGGTTGGGGATACAGGAATGTTGCCATCCAGAAATGGAAAGTTCACAATAGGGAAGTGAAATCATCACGTTTTCCTACATATTGGTGGAGAGCTGTCCATGCTGTTTTGTTGTAGGAAAAGATCGAGATAAGCGACTGATGAAGAAGAGTCTGTCGTGTTTTGTTGTCAATAATTACGCCATTTTAAAACTGAAAATAACTGCAGTTATCTATTTTTGAACATCTTGTAAAATCTAACTATTACACATGTACCGGACACATCTGTTATCTGCGTACGGAGGGCAATACGTCGTTATGGCAGCCAAAGAAGCGAACTCATGTGAAAATGATTTCTGACCGGTACCTGTCGTTGTGGATGTACATATACCGCCAATGAAATGAAATCAGTTGCTTTTAAGTGTCGTGTGACCGGCTTTTCCCATGAATTCTAAATGCCAAAAATATACGCAGTATACAAAAAGTACAAGCTTATGGAATATCCTGCATCGATTAATTTTGGCAAATATTGATTTTGCATGTTTTTTTTCTTGTTTTCTTTCTTCCAATATGATATATGGACTGGGGGTTGCGACATTTTAAGGCGACTGCGAAATTCAAAATACAGTGAAATAGCTGGGTTTTTTTTTATCCGGATGAAATTAATATCCATTTGATGTTTTAAAATGTCTTGATTTATGCCTTGCCAATATTCGATTTAAATATACAGCCCAGTTTCAGTACTAATTTGAATTTTTTTTTTTTAAAAAAAGTGTCAATCACTTACTACTTTTGAAAGTTAAACTATTTCGAGACATTACTAAAGTTCACAAGTTTCTATGGATAACTTTTAAGAAAATTACTTCAAAATACTGTTATATAGCGTATTGATCCACTCAAAAAAATATTCTATCTGAGCCAGTCAGTGCTTTGGAAAATAAAATGTTTACAATAAACCAATTAAGTTTGATTTGAAAAGCACGAGGCTCTAATGATTTAAACCCCTTTCCTAACCCACTATGTGTCCGGTTTTTTCCATAAAAAAACATGTTTCATATGAGCCCAACTGCCCATGGATGCTGAGTGTCCTATATAACGTAATGAGCTGGGGGGGTCCCCTCCATGGTAAAAATCACATGTCGGTTCCTATTGATCGAGACCAAATTGTGATCTGTAACTTAGCGATTTTATAGAATAAATGGTAGGCATAAACCTTGACATAATCCAAATGTCTGATTTTACTCCAATAGTCTGATACATGACGGAATCAATAGAGGTTTTTTCGACGGCCATTATTTTCGTTCCTGTTTCCAGCAACATCCATGTTTCGTGTTTACGTCGATAAAATCTGCTTTAATTTTAAAAACTGCATGCTTGCGAAGATAGTGTATATGATAATGTACCATTCATAGTCGTTTTGAATCTTTGGTGTGGCTCTATTTTCTGTATTTCATAGTAAAATGGAAGGTAATGTATAACATTTTTTACCAGCCAATAACTAATTTGACGGGGTCGGCCGTATATCCCATAATTTTATTTCGTTGACTTCCGTAGTTCTTCGCTAATGACCCGACACGGGGTCGATGAGTCACAGATAGCCAATTGCGCTGCGATGCGGTAGTCACGTGGCACACTCGTGTTTGGAAATTTTACTTCGGATATGTTCGGAGTTTTCTGTGACAAGCGTAAAACTTTTCATCAACAGCCGCCATCTTGGGTTGTTGAGATCAGTAAATTTGGATTATTTTGAAGACAATAATTCGATGAAGACTTCCATTCACTGGATTATGACCAAATGATTTTCATCATAATTTATCGTTGAAAATTTTGAGATAGAATTTTGGACATTCCACTTAATTTTGTTCAAGATGTGAGCCTAATATATTCGGAATGTGATCGGCTTTGTGATGAACTCTCGGTGTGAATCGAAAATCGGATTTCCAAATAACAATATTCGGAGATGTAATGCAGTTATGGCCGAGATTTTGTATTGTGTGGTATTCTTGAAAGTTCATTTTAATCTGACTGACTCTGGATCGTAGGTGTTATTGCATATTATTGTTGTCTGCAGCAGGTCAGGGCCTTGCTTTATTTAGCTAAGCAATCATGGCCGACCAACTTGCAGATGGCCCACCAGCGGCCAAGCGACAGAAAGTATCATCGCCTCGGCAAAGCATGGGGTCTGATCAAGGAGGTAAGCAAATATTTGCAAAAAATAATATTTGTTATTCACTGTTTTAACTTTTAAGACCGTTTTTTTAAAACTGTTGCATGCAATTTTTGATAGCAACTGCGATGACGCTTTTGCCAGGAAAAAAGGATAAAAAGGTACCAACGGTTCCGGCGCCTCGGCCAGACATTTGGATTTTTCATTTTTTCGTGTCGAATAAATATAATTTTGTTTGTTGAAATCAATGTTTGATTATTTTATTTTATTCAGAACTGTTATGGGATATAATGAACGATCTTCCCGACGAATTGATGGGAACAGGGGAGCCCTCCCATAATGGGACAAACGATTCTCATAGTGGACAAGACACAACATCACAAAGACATGTCCAGCTCTCCCAACTTTTATCCAGCAACCCAACTCCACCTCTGAATATAGTAAATTCTCTTCAGAATGCCCAAAACAGGAGCCCTAATGTTGGAAGTATTGCAAATTCTCTCAATAACGTGAAAAGTCCTCTCTCCAACAGTTTATCCTCACCCCCTCATGGATCAGTTGGTAAAGGTGGAGTGAGTGTAGATGGAAACTTTCCATCAAGTAGTGCTACTTTTACAATGGCAAACAATATTTCAAATAGTACTGTAGCTATGGCAAGCAGTGTACCAAATGCCGTGCTGAAAGGGATTCCACATGGTTCTGGACTTACTATTGGACATAACCAAATGATACAAAATGGACCATTGAGTGGTCCCAATCGAAGTATGAGCATGAACACTAACAATATGGGTCAGGCGATGTCCAGTATGTCACAGGCTAATAACATGCTTGGAAATCTTCCTGGTCAACAACAGATGCAGACTCACCAAAATTTAGGACTTCCTGGTTTAAATGCTGGTCAAACTCCACAATTGATGAAGGTTTGTATAATGAGCTTAAATTGATAGTGTTAACTGTGTAAAGCCTGTACCAGAATTTAATGAACTTAACTGTAAGTACCCTAAACACGTATGAATTAAGTTAATGCAATGGAACCTTATTCTGATGAAGCTAAAAATAAGGTTGCTTTCATGTAAGCAATTCAGGACTGAGGCTGGACTGCAAAATATGCAGCATGTGCAATTTGATGGGCCAGTGGTACCTGTTCAAAACTAACTGGATGCAAATCATTAGTTTTTCAAGATTTCATCATTAAGCAAGGTCATTGGATTTGGATTAGCCAGTGCACACAATTATTTCTGGAAATGCTCTGCTATTAAATACAGGATGAAATGGGAGATATTTTATTATTGGTGCATTGTTTCAATTTGAGGATATTTCCAAAATTGCATTTTGAGCTTAACATGTAATATTTCTAACATCTAGTACAAGTGCATTGGTTTTTATCATGGAATAATTCTGGGCCTCCTAAACTTGTTCAACTAGGTTATGAATACAAATGTGGCCTTAATCATACTATTAGATGCATGTATATTACTTATAAGTGCTGATCATATCAAAGGGTTTGGCATTGCAATGAAAGATTAGAAGTCGAGAATTGAAATCAGATTGATATGTCTTTGGTGCAGTTGGTTGTGGAATCAAACAGCTCTTTGAAAATTTTACATTTGGGGAATGATAAATGAAAAAAATTCACTGATAATTTGAAACATACAGATTGCTTATGATGCAAATTCATCTTGAATGTTTGCTCATAAATAAACCTGTGCACTGTGGACACCATTGTCACAGAAATTATTTAAGTTAATATGGCTTCTAGATGGGAAAATTGATGAATGATCCGAAAGCTTTTCTACCACTTTCATGTTTAATTTCTTTGTATTTTTTCAGCCGAATGGTCCTCCACCTCATGGAGGTGGCTTTGGTTTCACCAACCCTTCCAATATAGCTGGCCACCCATCTTCTACTGCTAGCTATAATCAATCTCTGTCTTCTACCATGACTACAACTTCTATTAGTATGCCAACAAACACTATGAATACGGTGAGTACTTTCTCAATCTTTTAATGTCTTACAGCTATTTAAGTAATTTAAGTTTAATAAGAATGGATATGGTCTATAAACCTGGAAAGTGGAAACCAACATTTGGTATGTAACCAATCATATTTGCTAGAGTTATTGACAAGCATTACATACAAGAACAACATACTTTTTTCAGAATCAACAACATGGTGTGCTGCCCAATATAGGTCCTAATACAGCAACAACATCAGCAGCGTCTGCAGGCACAGTCCCAGGGCCTGGGGGAGCTCAACCACCAACAGCTGATCCAGAGAAGCGAAAACTCATACAGCAACAGTTGGTCCTTCTGCTGCATGCACACAAGTGTCAGAGGAGGGAAACCACCAACAATCAAACAGAAGTCTGCTCTCTTCCTCATTGTCGTACCATGAAAAATGTTCTTAATCATATGACTCATTGTAATGCTGGAAAATCTTGTCAAGGTAATTTTCTTGAAACTGCTTACTTCCTTGTCATCATAAGTGTTGATGTTATTTTACAGGCATATTGTTCTGTGTTGAGATGATTGACTTGCAATGATTTTGATATTGCCATTAAGAAACTGTCATACTGGTGTTTCTCAATGATAAAGCAAATGGCAAAGTAACATATTTTTAATAAACAAAAAACACTTTTGTCAAAGAAATATAAATAAATGGTAAAAACCATGACAAGAATCCAGGATATGTATGTCAACTGTTGATAATCCAGTACTTTTGCATTTATGATGACTTTTGACATAAAATATTCAGGTTAGTCAGTGGGTTTGTTTTCAGTGGCTCGGTATGACATGAAATATTACAATCACTGTTTGTTTTCAGTTGCTCACTGCGCATCCTCCAGACAGATTATCACCCACTGGAAGAACTGTACACGGAGTGATTGTCCAGTGTGTCTGCCATTGAAGCATGCATCAGACAAGCAACGTCACCCATCAGCAACAGGTATTAATTTAATCTGGTCCAGTCAGTCAACAAATTTGGTGTCAAAGCATATTAAAGATTTCATAAAAATTATAAATATTTTCTGAAAAATTACATTTAATGTCTTTTCAGCTTAATTTCACAACAAAATATCAATTGTTTTCCAATACCCTTTTGACTGTGCCAATCCAAACTTTCATAACAGTTTTTCAAAGTTGTGACGTTAGTCACTCTTACCTTTAGTGTTAAAAGATACTTGTTAAAAACAAAACCTACCCAGTAAAATTTGCATTGTAATCCACCATACCTGATTATCTGGTGTCAGTAAGTGATCTTTGTTATATCTGCAACAATTCTATATTGAAACTAATTGGGAGTAGTGCTCCTTCCTCAAACTCCAGCAACCAGTGCCCCTGCTAACCCCCTGACTGGTCAGGGACCACCAGGTGTTACTGACCTTCAAATGAAGAGGGCCTATGCTGCTTTAGGACTGTCTCCTCCGTCTCAACAAAATCCTGTACGGACACAAGGAGCTCCAGGAGTTCCAGGTTTGTACTTGCTTTTGAAATGCAATAGTTTTGATACAAATATTTTCTACAATTAATCAAAAGTTCTCAAAGAAACACCATCCTTAAGTTTTGTTAAGAGTTGTTACTCTGAAGTAGTAGTCCTATTGAGTGAATAGGTGACAAAAGTGATACATTGCTTTTTCTCAATATTAACAGGGGGACTGAACTCTAACCCATCAAATCAAGTGTCTCAGCTTTTGGGCGGGCTGCCTCCAGGTATTGGAGGTTTGGGTACTGGTTTAGGATCATCTGACCCACTGGGCCAGAATCCAAACAACCCTGCACAGAATATGGCACAGACCAATCGAGGCTCTAAAGAGTGGCATCAGAGTGTTACGCAGGACCTGAGAAATCACCTAGTCCACAAACTGTAAGTTAGCAAATTATTTTTATTTGCTTAAATAATTTGTGATCATGCAATTTCAATCTTAAAGATGATTTGCAGGTTCAACTTTCAATCTCGTAAGAACTTAGAATTGATCTATCATACATACCAAACTCATTTTGTCTCTTTTTGTTTGGTTTGTATAAAACCTTAATTTGAAAATGTGAAGTTTTCATTTGATGGCAACGTCTGAATTGTATCGAAGATGTGATTTGAAGTAGGACTGAAAACAATGTTTCTGATATATGAAACCCTATTGATCAATTTAACATGCATCAAGATGAAAGTTCGTCTTTAAAAACTATTTCTTGAAAATGCCCCATTCTGAATTTTCTGAGTTTTCTATAAGGTTGTTTTTAAAAAATGCTTTTTAAACCACCATTGGTAGCTTTCTTAAAGAAGGATATTTATTGAGTTTGAAGATGATTGTATGGGATCATGTAAATCATAAACTTTGTGACTAAATACACTTATTTTTCCTTTAAATGTATGCATTTATGATATCATTGTTGTCAATGTTTGAGGGCATGAGTAAAATTGCATGCACTCCAGTAATGAAGATTAATCTCTACATCTGAGAAACGTAAGATCTCTGCAACACTTTTGATGGTTACACTTTTTTTTTGAAAAATGGAAGATTCCGGCATACTTGGTCACTTTTAGTTTTTTTAGCTTCAAGTTATTTTGTAATTGTTTGTCATACAGAGTTATTTGCCATGACAGCAGTTTGTCCAGAATATTTTTTACTCAAATTTGAAATTTGCATGGTGACCCTCATGATTAATTAAGTTAGGGCATTATTGCTTTACTAATGTTGCTGGATAAAATATATATTTGCTACACAAGTTGTGTTTGATCAATTGGAAAGACTTTTAATGAATTTTTGTTTCCAATTTGTGCCTTTGTTATTGTTGTCTTATCATTTGTATGGGACCTGGAAAATATTTTGATAGTTATATCTGTGACTTCAAATGGTGGCTATGTAAAGGGAATTATCTAAGGCCAGTGTGAAATGATACCTAATATGACATCATGTGGCCACGAAAGCTCTTTTTATTCTGTCACTATTTTTTAAAAAAAAAAATGGAAACCGAAAAATCTAGATATTGGAGGGAAGAGAAAAAAAGAAAAGTTTGATATTATATTGGAAGTTTAAAAAGAAAAAATTGGATTTTGTATTGAAAGTTAAAAAAAGCTTGGTATGTGAGAAAACGAGAAGTAAGATTTGAAATTTTGCATTTGTAAAGTTTTCAATGATGTCATATTGTTTCATCATTGAAGGTTGAGTGGCCTGTGTGTGGCGTTTGGATTAAGGTAATTAGATGATGAATTAACAGGGCTCACTCTGGACTCGTTATGTTGTTGCCTATTCAAAAAATTGCTGAATCATTTCATGATTTTTAAAGTTGTTAAGGTAGTCCTCAAATTACTTCACATCTTCTGTTGGTCAAGAAATCAACATGTATTAAGTCTGTATATCTTGAATAAAGACTAAATGCTTTTGCATAGTTTTGTCGGTTTCTTCAGTATGAGCCCTGGTTACTTTGGATTGTTGCCTGTATAAAATAAACAGCCTTTATGGAGAAAAATACTTAAAACAGCCCTGCCTCTCTTAATATTTTGGCAGATGATTAAAGTAAAGTTTAGATAAGATTTAAATGTGAGGGATTAATCAACCAGCACTGAGGGTCACCATGCAGTTAGTAACCAATACAGCATTTTTGCACCTTATTTTCTATCATACAAGCCTAGCTGTATATTGTAGTGTAACTTGACATTACTTTTATAAAAGAAAAAATGGACAGATATTTTTTATGCAATAGGAGTTTAATTGTAGTAGTTTTCAGACTGAAGTTTGAATAATTACTGTACACGTTTCAGGTTGGCTTAGTTGGTTACACATTGTCCATTTATGTATTTTAGTGTTCAAGCAATATTTCCAACACCGGACCCTGCTGCACTTAAAGACAGAAGAATGAACAATCTTGTAGCATATGCAAGGAAAGTGGAAGGAGACATGTACGAGACTGCCAACAGCAGGGTAAGTTAACAAGGATATATGGTGCACTGATTATAGCTATTATAAATGTTTGAACAGAAGACACATAAGTGAACATAAGATTTCAATATGAATTTAGAATCATAAGATGCGATAATGCTAAGATGTTTGTTATTTAATAATTCCTTTTAGAAGCAAATGTGTCATTTATACTTGTGAAAATTAATGAATATCAGTCAGAAATTTGCACAAGTTTAGTACAAAATTTTAACAGGATATCATGATTAAAATCAACCACAAAATGTTAAGATCAAGTAAACAGGGAGTCAAGTGGTACAAACAACTGAAGAAACAACTTGTAACAAGATCAAAAACACATACTGATTATCTCTTCCTGTATCAAGGTCTTTGGACACCTTTTATATTATTACAGGGCTCTCGATCTGCCAGATTTGGGGCCGAATTCCCAATGCAAAATAGTATCTTTTTTTCCCAATTTAGACCCCAAGTTTTCCCAATTCTAAGGAAAACGCCTCTATTTTTCCCAATTCTAAGGACCCAGGCCCCCAGTCCCAAAATGGGGTGTGAGAGCCCTGCATTGTAATCACAGAACATTATGTTATGTGATATCTCTAATTTTGCTTTTACTCTGATACTAAGAACTAGTATCAATTTAGAAGAAGTTGCACTTTGCTGTTAGAAAATGTCAGTACCCTAAAAATTTTAGATTGTAGTTTTTGCTAACAGCACGAATTAAACAAATACTTAGCCCTGCAAGTTCTGTCTTAGATTGGAATGTGAAAATCTCAGTTTGGCAAATACTAAGAATGAAGAAAAACATTACTCCTGTATTATATGCAAATATTGTACTGTGGGTGTTCCTAATAAACATTACTTTAGTTGGAATTACTAATTCCTCTGTTAATTAACTCTGTTAGCCCCCATTGAATATGTAGAGAAAGTTTGGGAACAAAGGAAAAAAGTAAAGTGGATTATGATTGTATCAAGAGGTGTTATGATTCATACTTTCCTTTCTTACAGGAGGAATACTATCATTTGTTGGCTGAGAAGATTTACAAAATTCAGAAGGAATTGGAAGAGAAGAGGATGCAGAGGATCGGAAGGACTGGAGGAGGTCAACCACAGCCTCCATTAAGGGCAACAGAAAGTAAATATTTTACTGAGAGATTCTATTCAATACTTGCAAGGCTTTACTGATAATTTACAATCGTTTTATATATTGACTTGTTAATATTTGTATGTGATGCAGTTATTGAGATAAAGACAATTGAATGGCATGTGAAAGCAGTTAGCATAAAATCAGAGCTGATTACACATTTTTATTGTTTTAACCATGTTATCTTTTACTATCTGTAGATGGCCCTCTTGGAGCAGGTCCTCCATTCACAGCTGATATGTTCAACCTGCCCTCGTCAGCTCCAATGCCTGCTGGAGGACCCAGGATGCCTGTACATATGCCCAGACCACAAGGCCAAGTAAGCCTCCGATCGAAACATAATTAAATAAAAGACTCTGTTTCAAGTGAATTTACTGATGCAGAACTAGTTAATTTCTGGAAACATTATATGGATTTGAATTCAAGTGACAGAATTTAGTATAAGCTCTATGTGATTAACCTCATAAGTATAAACTGTTAAGTGATTAATTATGTTCTTTACATTCAGCTTGGACCTCCCAACTCCCAAAATCCACAACTCAATCTAGTCTCGGCACAGCTGCAGAGAGAGGTACAGAGCCTGGAGGCGAAAACTCGCCTGCCCTCCACGCACATGTCAGGTCAACCTCAGCCTCAATTGCAGCAACCAACTTCCCTTCCCCAATCTCAACCACAGACTCACTTCTCACAGCTGCCACAGGTGACTGTTCATCTTTCTCTCTACTGGCCTCTTTGTGGGTCATTGTCATAAATGCAGCAATTGTCTATCAGTCATTCACCAGCTTATATTCAAATATCAACCAGTCTAGCTAGAAGGTTTGAATAGGAATTTCTTACTCCAGTCTGAAATTGCATTCTATGTTGGGTTTTGTGCATCAGTGTTACAATTTTACATTCCAACTTCATATTCCATTAAAATGAATTTAGTGCAGCTATCTATGGAAACAACATAATACACCATTAAAATCAAATACATTTGATATATTGAAAGATAAAAATCAACAAATATTACAAATTGAAAAAATTTTAAATGCATGACATTTCATTTACCAGTTGTACACTTAAGATGTTGCTGTTTGGGAAATATAAATGCACAACTTACAAAATTACTGACATCTTGACATTGGATTTTACTCCAAGTCAAACCATTTTTTTTTACTTTGTATTTAAAATGAAATGAAGAATACTGTTATAAAAAAGTCCCTGGAACTCTTTTACACTAGTAACAGTTTTCCTTTAAACTTAAGAAAAACAGCTTTATTTGCCACAGAATATTCATCAAATGAACAACAAATATATTAAAAAATCTGATGAAAAATTGGAAGTTGTTTGCAGGTTATTTTTTCATCTTTCCAGCAATCGCCAATCTCCCAGGTATCCCAGTCACCACCTGTGTCCCAGAGCCAGCAAACCACCACGGCACTGGGCCAGCTGAGTAGCTCGACCATGGACCAGCAGACACTCAACCTACTGAATAGTCCATCACACTCTCAACAACAGACCCAACAGTCCAACCAAAACATTCAAACCACAGCCATTCAAATGACACAATCATCTACTATCACTGCACCTAGCCAGCAGGTAGGTCATTATTATCAAATTGTTGGTACTACAGCATTATTATCTTCGACTTCCCTGTAGGTCTTGTTGGTGGTAATTAACTTCATTTACCTGAATGTTCTATCACAGAAAACTTTCCTAACTTCATTTACCTCATTTGATATGTGCATCTTGATCCATTTAAAGAATCCTCACACTATATTGAAATTGTCTTCAGAGATGATCTTTTGTAGCTGTTGAGGGTATGTATTTTTTCCTTTTAAGGTTAACACTAGTTTACAACAGCCAATGCCTGATGTGAAAGTCAAGATAGAGCCTATAGATATACACAACACTCAGCCCCAGACATTGTCTGAGGTGCTGTCTGCCCCGTGTACTACAGGCAATCTGCTGGTGAACAACTCTTCCATCTCCACATCAGTAATGGTTAGTTCTCCCATCACAGTCATGTCCACAGCATCCATGTCAACTACCACAATATCTGTGGCAACAACATCTGCTGCTGTTGATGTCAAACCAGATATCAAATCACCCGATATCAAAATGGAGCTGCCTTCGGATGACATTAAACAAGAAAGCACAGAAAGTGTCCAGGTAAGTGAAATGGTGGTTTTTTTTTAATATCTCGGTCCAAATTAATTAAAATGTTGTAAGTAGTATTCAATTAACACTGCAGTCTTAATTGATAAAATTTAAATACTGTGAAAAACAAGTTTTCTGATGAAGTAATCATCAAAGTTTTCTTGTCGATGATGACAATTTGATCATTTATAAAAAATATTTCAGGTGAAAGAGGAACCAGCCAATGAGAAAAGTTGTGCAGGTTTGGAAGTTCAAACCCCAAAATCTGCTTCAAGTGCTACAGAACCTGAGACGTCCCTTGAACAACCCACACCTAGTCCTATGAATGGAAGCACATCAACTGCTTTAATCGTCTCCAATAGTGCTACAGGAGCTGCAGGAGCAGCCTCTGCTAATGCCACACCAGCAAAGCCAAAACAAAAGAAAAGTATGTGTTTGCCTTCAACATTTAAATGTTAAAATGATAGAATATTTTGTAATATTCCATCATTAAAATTCTTCTAAGTTTATCTATGAATCTTCACTCATTTATTATTTCCTTATCATTCAGTTCTGAACTGTTCGTGTGATAACCATAAAAGGTAGTTTATTTCAAGGTTTCTGTGGATACTTTTTACTGTTTGGACTTCAAATTATTTTCTGTTCTCTGTGAAGAAACATGAAACCTCATACAGTGGTCTGCTGTAACTTGTAAGCAGTGATTTATGAATGGCCACAAACACAAGAAAATTTTTACATGATTTAAAATAGATTAAAAAAAAAAGATATTTTCTTTCATGTACCTAACATGGTTTATCAATTGTGTCTGAGGAATGTTGAAAGTGAAAACAATGTTATACCCACCTACAAATTCTATCAGATGTGCTATTTGGTCGTGAAAAGGTGAGAGAGAGAGAGAGAGAGAAAAAAAAAGAAGAAACAAATTACCAACCTTTTTTCTCTGTTATCAAATTTGTTTTAAAACCCTTTCTGTCAGTCTTCATTCAATTTACTTGGCTCTTTATTGCAGCATTCAAACCAGATGAACTGAGACAAGCTCTCATGCCAACACTTGAGAAACTATATCGCCAAGATCCAGAATCCATGCCTTTCAGACAGCCAGTAGATCCTATTTTACTACAGATTCCAGTAAGTACTCCAAATAAAGTGAAATAACTCAAAAAAAAAGATGCTTGAATTGTTTATGGCTATGAGTAATTAGGTAATGGATTTCATAACCTGCAACAAATCTGAAAAAATAGTTGGGAAAAGATTGCTTTGAACTGAGAAACGTATATCATAAAAACACTTCAATAAGTATAATCATGAAGAGATCTCGATTTTGGTATCTCTAAATTATGACATAGTTTGAACATAGGTACATCAAAGTGCATAACTTTTGAATTTTGAAAAATACTGAAAAATTTTGAAATACTGTGTACTTCTTGATGGCATCTTGATGTCGTTCCTAGGAAGAATTTTGGCGGTCTCGGTGTGTGTTAACAATGAAATATTGAACCAAGCAAGGTATTTGATGGACAGTTTACATGAAAAAGGACACTTAAAATCTGTCAGTTTTACAAGTTGATTGCAAAAAATACAAAGTTAGAAAGCTAAAATGATTTTTTATAAAAGAAAAATTAAAACATTTTGTCTTTGTTGAGGATTTTGTGAGAGAAAAAAAGATGATATTGTTAACATTGATTTTCTGCAGGACTATTTTGATATTGTGAAGCGGCCAATGGACCTGTCCTCAATCAAACGTAAGCTAGACACTGGACAGTACACAGACCCTTGGCAGTATGTGGATGATGTGTGGCTGATGTTTGACAATGCATGGTTGTACAATAGGAAGACATCAAAAGTCTACAGATTTGCTACAAAGGTAATGGCTCAGCCACTAACTTAGGTCAGATTCTTATAGCAACATCAAGTATAAGAGGAACATCTGTTCTAACAGGAGGATTGTGTAATGTAGGTTAAAAGTTGACAGGGTCAATAGAACTCAAAAATATTTAGAATTCTTATTAAGATTTATTATTAAAGACATACAAAAGAAATATTTTTCTAATTATTTGATTTCAAATTTCAGTTGTCTGAAGTGTTTGAGGGGGAAATTGATGCAATTATGCAATCCCTGGGATATTGCTGTGGCAGAAAGCATGTGTTCAGTCCTCAGGTTCTGTGTTGTTATGGCAAACAACTCTGTACTATATCCAGGGATGCTATTTACTTCAGCTATCAAAACAGGTACGTATTTAATTATAAACAAAAGTACACTTATGTTGTCAAAATATCTAAATTGATTTTACTTCTCTTTGTTATGCTGTTTTTAAGCTGATAAAGAAACGTTTTGATGAATTGTTACTGACGAGTGTGTGCAGTGATTACAATAGCTCATTTATCTGCTTTTGCTATTTGTCTACCTAATCAGTGAGAATTAAGCTTGCTTCTTTGTTTGATTAGTGAATTAACAGTTTCAGTTCAAAAATTCTTTTATACTCAAATGTATTTACCATATGATCACTAAAGCTTTATGTTAAATGAACTGTTCGTACCACAACAGGTTTTATTCCAAAAATGATAATCTGAATTCCAGAAAACACTATTGTCAAAAAGATTTCCATTTCTAAGATCCAAATGATAAAAAGAATAATGTTTTGCTGGCTGTCAATGTTTCATGGTATGGAAACCTGGAGACAAAAGTCAACAAAAACAATAGCCTCAGATTCTAGCTGTGTATAAAGAAATTAAAGGATATAAAGAAATTTCGGTCTATAATAGAAAATTTTAGATTTTGGCTTGGTACATAAGTGATAAATATTTTCCATTGTTCTATTTAGATTTGATAGTAGTGGTATGTTTAGTGAATCAACTATTGTGTATGTAGTGTGCTGTCTGTCGTATCAACACTGTTGTACCTTCTGTGTTGATATGTAAATACTTGTACTAGTTATTGCTTTTGGCACGCTTTTCATTTCTCATTCATTAACTTTGTTTACACCTTTTTGCCTGTAGAGTTTTATTCAAATGCATCTTGACTGTAACACATCCAAAGTTTCCATGATCTTGCTGTATGCTACTCATTTCATACATATAAACTGAAAAATCGATCTCCTGATATATTAATCAGGCACTTTACAATGGCTGTCATTTTGGAAACTTTTTTTTTTTTTTTGGTTTTTATTTTTCTTTTTTTTTTTTTTTTTTTTCCAAAATAAGGGTTTTTACTGCATTTGTGTTTGAAATTATCATTTCTCTTTGACAACTTCAAGAAAGGAATCTGATGCCAGTTTGAATAGAACTTTCATTTTTTGTTGCTCATCATTTTGCTTACGCACTTTTTTCTTTCTTTCTTTCCTCCATTATTCACTGCTTGTCCGTGCTGTGCTCCGCTGGCGTTGGTGTTGTTTATTATCCATCTGGCCCATTTTGTGTTTGTGTCCATTCAATTTGGCACAATTCCAGTCAGAATCAAAGAAAAAGTACTGACCTTGTTTCTGACAGATACATCTACTGTGAAAAATGCTTCCAAGAAATCCCAGGAGACGAAGTGGAGTTGTCTGATGACCCCACCCAGTCTGCAACGTAAGTAGATCAACTTGTAAACATTCTCCATAATATTATTTACCATTTTAAATGTTGGCCTATACGTGAATCTAGAAATAATTACAATTTATCATTATATCAAAAGTGAATCATCGCAAAGAAAACATTGGAACAAAAAGTTTGTCAGCCTATTTTTACAAGAAAGAAGGCCTAGTGAGTTTATAGGTATGCCATGGTTTGATGGTATCATTCTTCATCAGGTTATATTTCTAATAAATGTAAAGTAATGATGAAATGATTTCTTTCGAAATTAAAGTGAAAGGTCTTCCTCGTTTATGTTCAGGTTTATCCTCATTGTATATATCACTGAATGCTAAGGCCCTTAAACTTTGTTTTTATTAATAAAGGATAAGGCTCTTTAACCTCATTGTTTGTAAAAGTGAACTGTCAGACTTTAACATCATTTGTTTTTAAGAATGTTAAGGCCCTGTAACCTTGTAGGTATGAATTTAACCTCATTGTTTGTATAAGTGAACTGTAAGGCCCTGTCAAACTTCATTTGTAATAATGAATGGTTAGGCTCTTAAACCTAGTTGTTTATATTGATGATTATTAAGGCCCTTTAACCTTATTGTTTATATTGATGAACAGTAAGGCCCTTCAACCTTGTTGTATATTTTGACCTTCTCTATTATTTTCAGCTTTAATACCTTATCAAGATTTACAATTAACCATTGCAGCAAAATCAGGAAGGACCAATTTGTGCGTATGAAGAATGACCAGCTTGATTATGAACCGTAAGTTGACATGTGTAGCTTAGATATTATAAAAGTCTTTTAGAGTGTTAGAAATGTTAGGAGCAAGTTTCCAAATCTTTAAATATATCAAACATATTTGATTAAAACTGATATTCACAACTTTCGTTCATGAGTGAATATTTCTGAAATCAGGAATACTCATAATTTTAACTAGATTTGAGTGTTGATAGCTGAATTCAAGTCTGGGTGATTGTGTCGTGATTGATAACAAATTTTTAACCTTGATTCATTTTGAAAATTATTTAGAGAGTCCATAGTAGTAATGGTATACCATTATTCAAAATTATATATGATTGTGAAATAACATGAAACACATAGATGTCTTTAAAAAGTCAACGTTCAATCTTTTTCATTGAAAAATTCAGGTCATGTTTGACCAACACTTAATAAGTTCACCATTTATTTGGTAAAGGTAACACAATGATAAGAGAGAATGTTGCTAGGATTTAAATATATAGATCATGCATATGTTCCTGTTTGTAGTAAGCACTGCTTCTGTATTAAGTTATTAATACAAAACCAACCTTTATGTATTACAGATTTACAGAATGTGATGAATGTGGCAGAAAACTCCATACAATATGTGTTCTTCACTTTGAGGCAATCTGGCCGAATGGGTAAGTGTAGGATTTAAAAACAGACGTGTGCCACTTAACTTTGCCTTACACAAGTTATGATATAAATTCAGGAACAGAGTTAACAATAATAAATTACTAAGTAAATATAAGCAGTGCATATTTGTCAATTTGTCAATTTCTTTTTCAGTTTTACTTGTGATAACTGTCTAAAAGCCAAAGGAATGAAGAGAAAAGAAAACAAATACAGTGCAAAGAGTAAGTATCATTAAGCGGACTTCAGTTTAGTTTGTGTTTTCACATTATTGTGAAGAAATAATCGTGTTTCGCACCCCTCCATAGGACTTGTCATAATGCAAAATATACCATTTTGCTGCTATAATGTAATATGGGAGGAGCATTCCTTCTATCAGTTAATTTCTATAGGTTATGCTATTGTCTATCCTCCTAATTATACATACCACAAAAACAGCATGATGTAACAAATAGTGATGAGACATATAAAGACATAGTAAAGACTTTTTTTTGTCTTTGTAAATCACCATACTTATGAGCTGGAAAACAGATTTAGCTTTTTCAGGAATTCCTAACACCAAACTAGGGACATATTTGGAAAACCGAGTGAACAACTTTTTAAAGAAGAAAGATGCTGGAGCAGGAGATGTTACCATTAAGGTGCTCTCAAGTAATGACAAAATCGTGGAAGTGAAGCCAGGCATGAAAGCGAGGTAGGTACAGAGGGATCAAGGTATAGTCTTAAACTCTGCCAAGGCTAACATCAAAATGTTTGTTTGTGAAGATTGATATCTCTTGAGTCTGTTTAGGTAAGGGTTTGTCAAAATGGCAAGAAACTTGCACAGACTTAATTTTGTTGCAACTTCGTTCTAAACAATCTTTCCATAACCAGTTTGGATTTGACTCAGTTATGTATTATTTAACAATTGTTGCTTGTTAAATGTGAAATGTTGAAGCAGGTTCATGATATTGATCAAGCTTGTCTATCAGACTGTTATAGATCTGTGCAAGATATATGAAGATTTTCAAATACAAATATATTTGGAAATTTGATTACAGATTGTAGACTGTTTTTAGGCTAAATGTAATTCAGTAATGGTTTCAGCCTATAGTCACAACCTTTGGAATTAGCTGTGCTACCAGTCCTAGCTTTATGATTGGTGGAAATATTCTAACCTATTACCAGTGACACTTATTGCAAGTAGTATTCTATATTGCACGAACAATGCCACCATCTTTCAAAACAGTGTCATGCATGCATACTCTCACTATGAGACAATTAAGTATTATACTAAAGACTTCCCAAAATTGACAGACTAGGTGTCTATAAAATTATTCAGATTGAGATTCACATCAAACACAAATCAGCATTACTTTGGTTTGTAGAGGCTGGAAAATTTGGAGGAATGCACAGAATTATGGGATCATTGACATCTATAATTACCGGTCTATCTTAAAGTTGTCAATAAATGATAATCTGCAACAATCAGAGTAGGAAAGACTCTTCAAAAAATATATTGTGAAATAATCATTATGTTTAGCAACATCATAGTTATTATCACAATACACCTTTTTGTAAGTTTCTTGTTGATATTTTTGAGTCGATGATGTCATTTGCTTTCTGTTTCACAGATTTGTTGACAACAATGAGATGCAGGAGAGCTTTCCATACCGAGCCAAAGCAATGTTTGCATTTGAAGAAATTGACGGCACAGATGTCTGTTTTTTTGGAATGCATGTACAAGAGTATGGATCAGAATGTGCAATGCCAAACACAAGGTAAACATGTAATTTCTATTATTTGCGATGACATATACACATATGCTAAGACAGTATAGGATTGTCTCATCACTAATTACCTCCTCCATTTCTAAATTTGATTATTGACGTTTCACTTGAAACAAGTTTGATTCAAACAAGACTCAGAAGTCAATCCTTCCTAACAAACAGTCTGTTTGAAAGTGAATGATTCGCCACCTGAATTTGTGCAAACCTCTTTGAGCATGTTTCAACAGGGGTAGAATTTTGCAATTTAAATTGGTCCTGTAATCACCTATGTGCTTCATCAACCAGTAACAGTTTGTCTTCAAATTTGAGCAGTGATCAGAGATTATTTTTCTTTGCAGGAGAGTTTACATTTCTTACCTGGACAGTGTACACTTCTTCCAGCCTCGACAACTTAGGACTGCAGTGTATCATGAGATTCTTATTGGCTACCTTGAATATGTCAAGCAGCTGGGATATGTGTGGGCCCATATATGGGCGTGTCCACCTAGTGAAGGGGATGACTATATCTTCCATTGCCACCCTCCTGAACAAAAAATCCCAAAGCCCAAACGACTGCAGGAGTGGTACAAAAAAATGCTGGACAAAGCTATCATAGAGCGTTGTGTCATTGATTACAAGGTTTGTCCTTCAGCCAAGCATTGCTAAAACTAGGTTTCTTCTTTCACTCTTTCAACCGTAACACATATTATTTAGGTAAAAGTGTTTTGTGTAATTTGCGCTTTGCAGGAAAATGAGAATGATCAGAAATTTTTTGATAATTTTATGAAGTAAACCTGGAACTTCTGCAGCTTTGATTCCGTGCAAAAAATTGAAAATGTAAAATCCTGTTAGATACAATTTAATATGCTGATTTCAACGTTACAGGATATTTATAAAGATGCCATAGAGAACAATGTGCAATCAGCCACAGAAATGCCATACTTTGAGGGGGATTTCTGGCCTAATGTGTTAGAGGAGAGTATCAAGGAACTGGACCAGGAGGAAGAGGAAAAGCGTAAACGTGAGGAAGCCGAGGCAGCAGCAGCAGCTGAGGTGGAATGTGTGGAGGGCACAGAGGACTGTGACAGTAGTTCTGTGAGTAGTGTTTTAGAACTGCTGGCTTTGTCATTTTGTCTTATGTTAACTAATTTCATTACTATTTACCAGAAAGATACATGTAGTCATTTTGCATTGGTATGACAACCCTGTTTTAAGTGAAACTGTGCTGTGGAAGTAATTCAGATTCAATTAACCTCCAGTGAATACCATGCTTTATTACAATTAAAAATAGTTATTTAAACCAAAGATACCAGTACACCAGTACTAGATGTTGGTACCAATTTTTTTATGAACAAAAATAATAAGATAATTACTGTATACATTAATGCAAACTATCCGAGTGAATATCATGCAAAACCTGAATGAAGTGTATGAAAACGAGGTAGCAACTAGACAGACAGAAAACTAACAATCGGCAAAGACAGTGACCTGTTTGGGACATTGAAAAATTTGTCAATTATAATTTGATTATATTTTGAAACACTAACATGTTCAAATGTTCAGAAATTGACAAGTTTCATTTTATTTTCCTTCATGTCGGATATCCCAAGGAAGCAGATGCCATGAGTACATATCTGTTTTCCTGTGTGTTATAGGAAGTTAGCATTGACATATTAGTATGCGGAGTGTGGATTGAGACATATCATTGGACTTGGGTTTAACTCATTATTTATTAATATTGATCTTATTGGTGCTTACTCAGAATATTGTCTAATGATAAAGAGGGAATAGTCTTTGTGCAATTATCTTACCAAAATATTTGATGTCTTTTGACTATACAATATAATTTCATTCCATGCTCCATATACCATATGCTTACGTAAACAGTTGGGGCCTCAATTTATGTTAGCTGGCCTGTACTCGTTGTGACAGCAAGACATGAAAGAAACATTGACTCACAGAGATATTATTTTTTTGGTTTGGTCATGAATAGGTAGATAATGACTTGTACCTGTGATTTCAACACTGCACACTGTTGATTAGGGCTAGTTGTGAAGACAAGCGCTTGTGTACAAAAGATAAAAAGGGATAATTGGATAGAAAAGTGAATGACAGCAAGACGTGTCTGATGTCAAAGAAAAAAAACAAGAAGATGAACAAACATTAGGCTGTAATTAAACAGAAGGTTATTTAAAGTCAGTAAATGAGATGAAAACAAATTTTAAAGAGAAAACTTTCAAGTTTGGACTTTCATATTTTATAATTTATAACATGCCAGATCTTATGAGGTAGGCTTGAAATTAAAATTTTTTAAACCTGATATGTTGCAGCAGAATGGCACAGGTAAGAAGAAAGGCAAAGGAGGCAGGAACAAAAAAGCCAACAAGAGCAAGAACAATCAAAGGAAAAACAACAAGAAAACCAATATGCCACATGGTGGAAACAATCTTTCCCAGAAATTGTATGCTACTATGGAGAAGCACAAAGAGGTAACTTCCTTGCTTGTAACTTCCTTACTTTCTGTAAACAAAATTGGATGCCTCAACTAGATACAAATACACTAGATAAAAAAATCCTATGAACCAACAAATTATTCACTTTTGATCATAACAAAGTTTCTGCAGTATGTTATGCTGAATAGTTTACAGGTTGTCAATTTATGATGATTTTTAGAAAATAGTGATGGATTCAGTGATAATCAACAGTTAAATAAGTTGTCATCAGAACAATGCTAGTATATTGCCTAACTGTCCTGTCAGCAAGTGTTTAACTTTATTTGTGAAAATTGAAAACTAACAGCAGTTGATGATAAATTATAAACTGTTTCAGTCAATTATTTTCTTTTACTTAAAAGGCTCACTGTGATAATATTTGACAGTTTGCTGTGCTGCTGTTCTTTGCCGTTAAAGTTCTGTGACATTTCAGATGGAGAGTATCTTGTACAGCAAAGTAGTTTTTTTATAGTTGGTGTATTTGTGATAGACTTATGAAAGCATGTTTGGTTTATGTAGTTTCATAAAAAAGTTGGTGTATTGATTTCTGAATATTTGTTACCAATATTGATTTCTAATATTTGTTACAGGTGTTTTTTGTGATCCGTCTACACAGCCAACAGGTGGCTCATAACCTTCCGCCCATACAAGATCCCGATCCTTACATCTCTTGTGATCTTATGGATGGTCGGGATGCTTTCTTGACATTGGCACGTGACAAGCACCAGGAATTCTCCTCACTGCGGAGAGCCAAGCTTTCCACTATGGCTCTATTGTATGAACTGCATAATCAAGGAAGAGACAATTTTGTGTACACATGCAATAACTGTAAAGCTCATGTGGAAACTCGTTGGCACTGCAGAGTGTGTGAAGTAAGTTTGGTTATTATGCAAATCAAAATTAACTGTTTAAAAGTTTACCACATGCAATAACACAGTTTGTTTTAATGGAGACATTCCTCATTAGCTACTTTGGTAAAAATGATCTTCACATATTTTAGGTCATCTGACCTGAGGGTCAGGATGACCTTAATTCATCATGCTTTGTCTGTCATTGTGTATAATTTTTTTCTTTAAAACCCTACTCCTCTTTCATACCTGGAACTGTGGCTCGATTCCTAGGGGTTAAGGGATGGGGCCCCAAAGGGGGAGGTGCTGAAATTAGATTTAAAATCCTTCTCCTTTCTGTCTGGGTGGATTTCAGCAAGCTTTTGCCTGATTCATCAGTTAGGGTAGGCAATTATTTCTTAAATTCAGAAATTTGATTCAACCCCTAGGGATTTAGTGGCAGGGCCCTTAAAGGGAAAATAAGAGTATTTTGCTTTGAAACACTACTCCATTTTAATGCTTCAATGGATTTCAACCAAATTTGGTTTGAAACATCATTGATAGTGGTAAATTATTTCTAAAATTCAGTAAGTTGATGCGAGCCCTAGAGACTTTGGGGCAGAGCCCCAAACGGGGAGGTTTAGCATTATTTTTCTGCAAAATGCTATTCTTTATTAATGCTTGAGTAGATTTCAGCCAAATTTGGTCTGAAACGTCATAGAGAATGGGAAATCATTCCAGTTCAGAAAGTTGATTTGACCACTAGGGACCTTGGGTTGGACTCGGCACACATATGAGGAAATTAGTCAATATTTTGCTTCAAAATGCAACTCTTTCTTACTGGTTGAATGAATTTCAACCAAATTTATTCTAAAACATTATGGAGAGTGGGGAATTCAGAAAGTTGATTGACCTCTAGTTAATAGAATGACCTTGATCCAATTGAAAGGTCACAGGGATCAAATGTGTTGAAATGCTTAAGCAACATGCTCAAAGGCCCAGGATGATGATATTAGTCCTGTAGAATGCTAGGGCTACCAACTTTGTTAATATTAATGACATTAACCTACTTTCAAGGTCACAGATTTCAAATGTGTTAAAATGTCTCAATGATTTCTTCTCAATAACCAAAAGGCCCAGGGTGCTGATATTGGACCAACTTTCAATGTCACAGGGGTCAAATATGTTAAAATGCTTAAGCAACTTCTTTTCAATAACTAAACGACCAAGGGTCTTGATATTGGGCCTGTAGCTTGCTTTTTTCAACAAGCAATTTGTCTGCAGCAGTGGCATTTGTGCATACTTCAAGAATATGATTTCAAGTTTGCAGAAAATGGCTTGATGAACCAACAATGTCTTCTATGTAAGCTGTACAGTAGTTGAGCGATTCTATCTAGGCCTATTTTACCTCTTTCATATATAGGTCTTTATAGTCAGATGACATTAAAGTCCATGGGTCTCTTGTTGTATCCTTTAACACAAGTTTGTAGTGAAATTATACAGTGCTAATGTAGACATAATGTAAAGTGTTTTTACTAACCATTTTTATCTACCTTAAGGATTAGATAAACTTGTGGGTACAGTAATCAGTCTGGGTTTATCTGGACATAATGTAGAGTGTTTTTACTAACCATTTTTATCTACCTTAAGGATTAGATAAACTTGTGGATAGAGTAATCGGGTGGTAGTCAGGGATACAGTAATCGGGTTGGTAGTCAGGGTTTCATTGTCAGTTTTGAGGCCTCACCATGTGTAATTTCAAATGATAACTTATTAAAATGTAATTCAAGTAAGTGGCCAGTTTCTTTTTTGAAATTTTCTTTGTGTAGCAACTGTTTGCTAATACATTTTAATTTCCATTTTCAGGATTATGATATGTGTTCAACGTGCTATGAAAAGATTGGCCATATTCACAAGATGGACAAATTGGGTCTGGACTTGGATGATGGTTCATTACCTTCAGAAAAACCAGAAAATCCTGCAGAATCTCGTCGCCAATCTATTCAGCGTTGTATACAATCTTTGGTACATGCTTGTCAGTGCAAGGACGCAAATTGTAAACTACCGAGTTGTCTGAAGATGAAGCGTGTGGTTTCCCATACAAAGGGTTGTAGGAAAAAGACCAATGGTGTGTGTCCAATCTGTAAGCAGCTTATAGCGCTGTGTTTATATCATGCTAAACATTGTACAGAGAACAAGTGTCAGGTGCCATTCTGTTTACAAATTAAACATAAACTGAGGCAGCAGCAGTTGCAGCATCGGTTGCAGCAAGCCCAGATGCTGAGGAGGAGAATGGCATCAATGCAACGTGGTGGAACAACGACTACACCAGTAACGCAGGTGACATCTCAGCCCTCCCCCTCCCCAACTCCCCTCATACAACCGGCAATCCCTGGCAAGCCAGCTGCGGGCCCTCCTCCAGGTGCCCTGGAAGCAGCTCAGCTGGCCAAAGAAGCGGCTCAGAGACAAGCGGAGATGAGCATGGGCAAACCTGTGATGACGACGACTGTGACGCCCATGCCACCTCCAATGCCTTCTACCATGAGTCAGTCAATCCCAGCTCAAAAAGTGCCAATGCAGACATGGACACAGCAGCCACAATATCCTCAACAAAATCCCAACCAAAGTCTGCACCCGGATATGACACAGAACACATTATATCCGAGACCAAATCCTCAGCCACAACAGCCTCCCATCAACCCACCACAGACGGGCCCAAATGCACCACGGCCTCCAACCACACCGCTTCAACAGTTGTTAGCTACTCTCAAATCTCCTGCCTCTCCGCAACAGCAGCAACAAGTACTTCACATTCTAAAAACTCATCCGCAACTCATGGCAGCTTTCTTAAAACAAAGGACTCAACAGCATCAGCAGGCTCAGAATCAGCAGCCTCATCAACAACAACAGCCCCAACCCAACCACCCAATGTGGTATCAGCAACAACAACAACAACAGCAACAGCAGCAACAACAACAGCAACAACAACAACAACAGCGTATGCGGCTTCTTCAACAACAGCAGCAGCAGCAACAGCAGCAACAACAACATCAGCAGCAGCAGCAACAACACCAACCACTATCAATGCCACAGTTCCAGCAGCCCCAGCCTCAGTATACTCAAGTACAACGACCACGTATCCCCTACACGGGGCAGCAGGCCTACCAAGCAGACGGAAATGGTCAGCACATGTCACAACAGTTCCAACAGCAACAAATGATGCAACAAGTACAGCAACAACAGGCACAGCTGCGACACCAGCTGTCCGCGGGGGGCAAGCCTGTCCAGGTTAATGCTCAGATGTCTGCCCAGCAGGCAGTTAGTAACCAACAACTTATGCAGCAAGTGCGTTCGCCCACGTCGGCGTCGCTACCACAGACTGTTCGTTCTCCCCAGCCCACTTTATCTCCCCGGCAGCAACTGAACCCCTCACCGCGACAACCACAAATGTCGCCACATCATGTTGTGTCTAGTTCACCTCATCCGGGCGCCGTGGGAGGTGATCCAAATCAAATGAACACAGACCCTAGTTTACTGTTGAGTGGTGGTATGTCGTTACAGAACCAGCCCCCAGATGGGGGTCTTAGTCTACCACAGGACACAGAAGTCACTCCACAAGATCAGTTATCACGATATGTGGAGACATTGTAGCACATGTTATTGTTAGGCTTTGTGACGACATATTACTACAGAACTAATGATATCAGCAACATTATAACAAAGAGACTGATGTTATGTGTCTAGCTGATTGTTTTTCACCAATGTATTTGTCACTTTTTTTTCCAGAACAAATTATCTACAGATTTTTTTCTTGTGTCAGAAAGAAAATGATTTAATATATTTTATTTTATATGACTAGGAAATGTTGTGTGTGTTGGTTATTGAACGTATGATTTATAATATGTGGGCATGAAATCAGGTATGAATGGTTTGGATGAATGAGAGATTGTTAAGTTGTGACAATATCGGGTATAAAGACGGTTTTGCATGGTGAGACAAATGTTGTTTGTTGGTGTCTTGTACAAGTTTAAAACGTTAACAGTTCCAATGTCTTTCTTTTTACATTAAATTTTATCATCTCAGCCTTTGAGTAAGAACTAGATTCATGTAATGATTTTTATTAAGGAAGAAATCGGTTTGGTGGACAGTGAAACTTGTAAGCCATCCGTATATATCATGTGTCGCACATCTTTCATCTACTCCGTAGTCGTAGAAAACTGAGTGGACAAGAGGAATGTGTCGTAGTAGATTTTTTAAGTTGGAAACAATTTCCATTGTGTTTTCCATTCAAAGATGGCTGTATAATTGTATGATTCCTAAATTAAATTAATTTTTCCCCTTTCTGTAGATTAAGATATTTTCCATTATTGGTGATCTAAACCATAACCAAGCCCTATACACATTATAAATACATGATTAAAGAATGCTGTTTGTACATTTTGTAATACTTCATAGTGTCATGTCATCCATTAGTTTATCAACTGGTCAGATTTCACGTCATACAAAACACATATTTGGGTAGTGTGGAGTTTTCAGTGTTCTGCTGGAATGCCCAAACACAACCTGCAAACGTTGTATAAATACAGTGATGATAAAGAGAAATGGTATTTCGTCTCCTTTTTTTTAAATGTCCAAGAGAAAAAGGTGCATTTCAGGTTTCAAAATCATTCTTAAGGGATAGAAGGAATTGCTCTGTCTAGCGGAAATGTGCTGAATTAAGTAATTGATAGTATTTGAAGTAGCTAGCCTTTCACTGAATCCAAGTCGATGTTCTTACAAGTACTGATTATGAAACCTGTTACACACATCCTTATTCTAAAGCTGTTCACTGTTCTGTCATATATTTATGCTAACTTATCTCCACATCAATAATATTCAGTGGATCATCATAACTATATCATAATATTTGTGTTGGGGATTGAAACGCACCAAATTACCAAAAACAAAAAATTGGTCCTGTCGGAGTAAGGAACTATACTTGTTGGTAGAGCTACACCAGCAACATTGTGAGAGTTACTTCCCTTCACCAATTGTTCGGCTCCATTAACTATCAACGTGGAACATGAAAAATATCTACAAAAACCTTTGTTTTGTTTTTTTATAAATTCTGCCAGCAAAGCTTAGATTTTTTGGAAAGTACTGGATGGATCTTTTCTCAAATTCCATATAAAGGTATCCCTTGGTGCCTAGTTGTGCCATATTCGATTTCGCCAAAGATTGTTATCCCTCCTTCATAAGTACTGGATGGATCTCTCAAATTTCATATGTATGTTCCCTTTGGTCTCTACTTGAGCCAATCTGATTTTGGGACTGATCAGAAAACCTAAATGGCTTCCAGGCGACCATCTTTGATTTTGCAGGTAAAGATTTTTGCTATTTCTGCAAAGGAATATTCACATTTCTTATCATTACGGGCAAAAAAGAGAATAGTAGAGAAATAAGGGAACATATCTCTAGGCGGAATTCGGGTTCTGTATTGTTTCTCTTTTCTTTGAGCGAATCTAAAGGTCTATTTTTCCCATGAACAGAACTCGTGTTCTTCATTTTTCTGTCGATGGAACTTAGATGTTGTTTTGTTTCGTTGGGGGAAGCTAAGTATCTGTTTTTTTCTGCTAGAACGGGATTAAAGTTCTCTATTTTTCCTGTGGTCGGAGGCGAAGTTCTGTTTAGTTTCTGTAGTCGCAGCTCAGTTTGTTTTTATTTGGGCGGAGCTCAGGTTCTTCCCTCAGCAATTTTCAGATGTTTTACTGTCGGGATCGAAGGGACCCGATAAAAATTCACGGAATAACTCGTGCAGAGGTATTGCCCTTTTTGATGTATGACGGCCATATTTTCGATCCGACGTCACCAAAAACGAATTTGAAGGAGATATGTCATGGATAATCACGAACCAAGCTTATTCAAAATATTTATTATTGGAAAATATTTATTATTAAGAGGAAAGTTCCAAGTACGAGTATTTTACTACCGTTAGCACAGCGAAGAGTCACGAGTTACACACCACACAGTTGACTTAATAATGTTGCATTTACGCCCGAGTCCCGATGATTATACATACGACTTCTGGCTCGTCCAATATATCGTAGGTTAATTCTGTTTTAACGCATGATGAGTAAACAACGAAATCAAATATTCGCTACATGTTTATGTTCAAAACGCTCCTGGTACAGTTCAATAGTACAAGGCCTACCAAATATTACACTTATACAGAAAATAGCTTTCGATACAGAAAATCATCATAGGATATTGATTTTGTACAGAAACTTGAGTCAACAAGCATTGAATACCTGTTACACGGTCTACCTGGCCTATAGGCAGACTATTTAAACATTTACGGGATATAAAGAGAATAAGGTCTCGCGATCAATTCGGAAAGTAGGTACCCTTTATATCAACAATTTAATTCGAGTCTACTTGTGTATAAACACGATATACTCTTTACAATCAATGGGGAACTATTATAAACTGACATTTCAGAACCCACTTTATGGGAGATTAATAGCGTCGCCTTTAAGTGAGTCTCGCTCTCATCCTGAGGTACATTATAAGATATATGAACAGGGATTTAGACACTCTAATATATTCCAAAATGAGAAAATATGCGAGAGTTCTAGGAAACGTACTCGTATACATGTTTTCATGCTGTACAATTTAGTTTCTAAGGGAAAACTTTTGTGCGTTTAAATAACACTCGTGAATTTTTACCGATTCTTCTTGAAATATTGAACTTCTATACTATGGCGTGAACACAGTCCAGAAAAAATGCATATTCTATCGCATAGAAAAGAAAATTATTTAAAAAGACAATTATATTGATATACCATGATTTCTTTTTATGAAGGAATAAGACGCTTTCCATCGAGTTTCTGTTCTCGTGTAGGGATCAGGTAGGAGGGGTTCTTATCTGGCGTCCTAATTCTGAAGACAGCCATTTTGTTACTTTAAAAAGACTATTTATGTCAACGTGTGGTGTATTAGAATGGTGATTACTTTTAAAGGACAGCACATTTAACAAACGAGTGCGTTCGACATTTTAATTTCCTGTTATGACTTAAGTGCTGTTTATATATATTTACTCTCCGTAATTCCTTTTCGCGTCACCAAAATGGATCAGCTATGTGAAAAAAATATAGTACAAGTGTATTCTATCAAATACCGGATCAGCGTTTGATTTCAAAGAAGGCGACGAAGTACTGACCTTTTGAATTATTTTCCAGTGATAATCTTATATAAATACCTATATATGAGTGTGGAAATCGAATTAGTACTGTCCTTTGTATGGCAATGTATATATATACCGCTTGTGTGTTGGCACCTTATCCGAGAGTTTACCGCCGTACAGCACACGCATGGTAACTGTCAACAAAGCCAGCAATCAACCACTTTCTCCTCCCGAATCACCGATACTAAGTCCAATACGTCATAACACGTGGATTTAATTCATCATGGAAGTAATATTGTGCTTCTGTCGAAAAATTCGACATGTATAACTAATTGAAGGTAAGTTTTAATTTTTATTTTGATCACAGCCGTTTTGAATTTAACGTTTAGTGTTGTGAACTTGTCGATTCTCGTTTGAAAAAAGTCTGTCGCCCATTATATGTGATTAACATATCAATAAACGAGTAGAGTTTTTTCATCAAAATGGGAACTTACTTGAATATGTTTTACGTTGTGAATGTTAACCGTGAATCCCATTTTTGACGACAATCCGTGTATTTAAATGTTAAGTAACATTTACGAAAATTTCACGGCAGTCGCAAGATATGTACACATCAGCTTTGACCTACAAGTCCCAGTGAAGTCGGTCTTTAATTTGCAAAAATTAGCATTATTCTCAATTGAACATTTGAGTAGTTTTGGCCCGAACTGTGTGTACTTTTACTGTATGATAACGGCGCGACTTTCGAGCGTTATCTGAAGTAAGTTTCGTCAATATTCGGAAACTCCCATTAATACACGTATATTTTGTATAGTGATTTGGTCTAAATCTTCTGTGATATACGAATTGAATCGACTCCTGGTATCTTTCAAATAAAATAAAGTATGAATGTTATGGCTTTCACGCGGTTTCAGATGCAATCCATTGGTAAAACCTATTTACTATCAAGTCCAGTCGTTCATTAGTAATGATGATGTAGTCTTGGTTGACCATGCAAACGGCCAAAAATTCTGCGGACAAATATTGACATATGTCATCAGCCGACAGTCTGAGGACAAAAGCTGACATGTGTCATCAGCCCAAAGTCTGAGGACGAATACTGACATGTGTCTACAGCCAAAAGTCTGAGGACGAATACTGACATGTGTCATCAGCCGATAGTCTGAGGACGAATACTGACATGTGTCATCAGCCAAAAGTCTGAGGACGAGTACTGACATGTGTCTACAGCCAATAGTCTGAGGACGAATAGTGACATGTGTCATCAGCTGACAGTCTGAGGACGAATACTGACATGTGTCTACAGCCAATAGTCTGAGGACGAATACTGACATGTGTCATCGGCTGACAGTCTGAGGACGAATACTGACATGTGTCATCAGCCCAAAGTCTGAGGACGAATACTGACATGTGTCTACAGCCAATAGTCTGAGGACGAATAGTGACATGTGTCATCAGCTGACAGTCTGAGGACGAATACTGACATGTGTCATCAGCCGAAAGTCTTAGGACGAATACTGACATGTGTCATCAGCCGAAAGTCTTAGGACGAATACTGACATGTGTCAACAGCCAAAAATCTGAGGACAGGATATCAAACCCATGCTATCAATACTTACAGAGGATTGACGACCAGAATCTATATTGGAGTGTAATATCACAATTACGGTGTAATACGCTTGACAAGACAGTTGAATTTGCTTGATATTTATTCCGAAGTATTTTAAAAGGCTTTCGATGAATAAATAATGCTGGTCGATATTTCGTTATGTGCCGAGTGTGGTCGATGTTTTCGTGTGAAGTATAGCAGAGGTAATACGTTATATACGACTTGTGTTGTTAGACGGAGAAAGCTGTACGATAAAGATTTAAATCCAGGCTACATCGACAACATGAACACCATGTCTTAAATTGCCATTAATTTACATAGTCGCCTTCTCGTACATCTACAGTAAATGTGCTGTATACAGCGTCTGTCAGGAACATTTACACCGTACAAAGATTGGACGGGACATAACACTTCGTAATTGGGTATTTCTGAAACTGAATTACATTTGAATGTTCCTTACGATGTCTCACTGAGAAAAGTGTACTTGAAATGGCATCTATGATTGTAGTAAATGAGTTTTACCGGCATATCGCGCGCGCAAAATGATATTTTTGCTTGCAGAAAAATGCCATTTATTGCAATCATAAATGGCACAAGAATCTCTATGTTTGCTTTTGTTTTATTTTGATAATACTCTGCTGAAACTAAAATCATTAATTCATTGTCAATAGTGTAAACAGCCAAGTGGAACAGCCTTTTCGATGGCGTGGTGCAGCCGGTCCCATGCCTACTGTCATGACGTCAGAATAATCATATTAGCTAGATGTCATTTATGGTACATTAAATCACACTATTTCCTCCACGTCTGTACACCACAAAATTATTTCTGCATTACCGTGTAAAAGTAGACATTCAAATATTTTCCCCCTATATTCTTAGTAACAGGAACTTAAATGAACTTTCATTTCATACGAGAGCTTATGAAACGATTTTTTTTTAACTTTGGCGAGACATCGTGGCAAGTTTCATAAGATCACTTATAAAGAGAAATTTAAGATATTTTTTATAACTCAGAAAGGTTTTATTTTGACTGGTTTAAAGTAAAATTGTGGAGGACAAAATCAAACAGAATCACGTTAATGTCCATACTATGACATCAAAATCGACTCCTGATTGGCGCAGCCGATGAAAAACGTTCAAGGATATATTATGACGTGTGCGAATTCACTTGATATCGAGCGGATTGTGTAGTAACAGATATATTACCATGTATAGATCACAGATAATTTCTTTTAAGACATGAATTTTACCTGTCTGTAGAATGGGGTTTATTGACCACTCGTAAAAATGGGTGAATATGTTGTTAAATACTTTTTATATATTTTAGCTTTATTAGGTGTACATTTTGGAAAATCTAACCTTCGGAGTTCGATTGTCAGTATAATTTGAAGGCTTTATATCGAAAATTTTCCTTGGGAAGTGAAACAAGAGACATAATATGACCGTGATATATCACAGAGGTGACGGGGTAAATTACAGGTAGTATCAGTGACGTCACATCATGACAGTACTAAATTCTCGTGATCTGAAGGCCATTTTCAAAGTCAATGTTAAAGGAAAGACCGGAGATTTCATCAAATGACTCATGATACTAACACTTACCTGATGGGAGTATTCAATAATTTACCAAGTGTTTAGGTAACCCTTTCTATTTTATAAATAAGCCGTTCCCTTGATCTCCTGGGGTATTAAAAAGTATGGAAGCAAATAACGACGATAAGCTACACTTTTACTCAATGGATCGACTTTGTGTTATATATTAAGGTAGATTACAGGTAAAGTCATTATAATAAGATTGTTTATTGTAAACTACGCTCCGGTATACATTTGGTGACAATGTGTTCGCAGGAAAAATGTTTAGGGTCATTATCCATATTAACGTGGCCCCGCCTTACGAAATTTGTCTTAACCTTAAACCTTTGAAAGTTCAGAGCAAAAAAATGAAAAATTTAGTTTCTTTTTCCATTTTCCAATTCGGACAGGTGAAAATGACTCTAGATTCTCGAAATTAACATATGTATACGTACTCAAAATCGTAAACATGACATCCAAAACTTACTCTAAACGGAAATCAAATTTCAGTTGTCTTGGAAACCATCTTTCTTGTATTGTAGAGTTCGACATTAAACTAATTTTCATTTATTATTATTAAAGGATATGTGCTATCGGTAACAACATTTTGATGTACACGTACACGTGTAGCTTACCTACGGTCGTTAGCTATAATTTTTATCAACAAGTAAATCGCAACATTCAATATTCAAAATTAAAGTTTTCCTGTTCAAATCAGATGTAAATGTCATTTCATGGAGTCGTGTTGTGTTTGGAGTCTAACGAAGCGTATATAATTGAATTTCTGCTCGAACACGACGAGTATAGAGTAGGAGGGGACAGAGACTCGGGCTGGGTGATTACCGAATACACCTGCACGGATTGGTGTTAGTATGTGTTAAATCATTATAATTAACGCTAATGACTTCACAGGTTCGAGAGAAGACAAACTTTTGATTTTTGAACGGCTTCAAAATGTAGCAGTTTATTGAAGTACAAGTTCAATACAATAACTAAATACTATGTCAATGAAATACTTGGGGAAATATCCTGGCAGGATTTCAACTGTAGCTCGAAAATAGGTATATTAAATTTAAAGTTACTTTGATTAACAAGCTCAGTGTCAGAGAAGGCCATTTTTGTTCCACAGTTGCGTGCATTTATGATACTTTTAACAAAGGAATTTAATTTTAAAAGATCTTCAATCCTTGGATGTATTCTGTTTTATGACATAATTATCCTCGTCGATGAAATAAGAGTATACAGGTGTGTATACACACAGGAGTTTGATTGACAAGGCAGTGCCGTAACAACGCCCTAACTTATCATACCTTTCATTACGTTACGTGACAATGCCATGACGTAAAACTATGTGGCATTGACTATGAATGTCATGGGCATCATAACTATGATGTCACCAATTTGGTTCCTATAAGAATGCTGTTACAATCGATCACGAATTCATGAGGACTTTGAATAAACAGAACATTTTTTCTAGTCAAATTACTAACAAGATGTGTTTATGAAACACTATGCCACCGGATTCAACAAAATTCTGAAGGGGGTCATTAAACTACTTTCCAAATGTAGGTCAAAGGTCACGGTCAAGGTAAAAAAAATCGGTACCACCGGAAAGGTCTTTTCACAACGAACACACATTTCAAATATTAAAGCACTGTCTCTTACGGTGCAATAGTTATGGGCAAAGTTAAGATTTACAATAGACAAACAGACAGCACAAAATCAATATAGGCCCCTGGCATAAAAAGCCGCTGATAAAGCTGTTTGGAGCTTGTTTGGTTATTATAAGTGCAAAAAAGATACATAGCTAAAGATGTCACTATGGAATCGGCTACAAAGCGCAGTGATGTGTACCAGAGTGTAATTTATCAATTTTTCCACGGAATTATCAAACTGGAAATATCAATTCATACTATTCTATGCTTTGTAGAATATGTTACTAATTGAAGGTTAGACATCATGCTCTTATTTACGTGCTATTTGAGATATTCTGAGTCAAGTCGTCTCCATGGTTTTAAACATCCTAATCATTTTAATGACACCTCATTTAAAACGACGGTTTTAAGACAATACGATAAACATATTTAAAACCTTAATTGAACTTGGTTAACTTTAACGCGTGTTTCTTAAGGTGACATAACAGGATTTTGTAAGTGATTACAATATATTGTCGAGAGAATATAGACATATGCCTTTCGCCAACGGAACATTAAATTAGTATTAGCATGTGTTTGTACCACAAACAAAATATACTTCTAAAGTGGAGTAGAAAAATTAATATAATTCTGCATGTTTATTATTATTATTATTTATTATTTTCAACAAAATAATTGCTGCGAACAAAATAATACAAAGTCATAGGACGAAACAATGATACAACAACTTTGTCATTTCAAAGTTATTGAAAATATGTTATAGATAAAAGTTAAGAAACAAATTATGTATCGGTATACTACATTAGGTGAGACAGGAACACGTAGCCGCGATCCTTATTCACTAAAGATACAAAATAACAAACAGCAGTGATGTCAGAAGTTAAAACTGTAAATCGAATGTGGTTTATTACAAGGTGCTTCACACCTCTCCACGACACACTCGAAAAACAGAAGGACTTTACAATATTACGTGTACAGACTCAACACCGCTAGATATTTAAACTGTGGACTACTCACCTCAGCAGACTGAGAACAGAATTACTCATGTAGATTTGTGTGTGTTAATGCAATGGAAAGTGTGATATATGGAGATGGCTGTGTTATACAGTAATCCAGGAAAGACGGTTAAAGGGACATGGTCTACAACAACAAAATGCACAGAAACACACCGCTTCACTCGAATTTATACCGTATTTGAAAGAATTTTAAATAAGATATATAATTAAATTTCTGAAAAAAAATTCAGGCGAAAAAATAATTTGACGAAGCTGGGACTGTTCGGGTAATGGTCTTTGTAGGACATTTTCAAGATGGCGACCGGCGGCCATTTTTAGTTTGGGGAGTTCTTAAAACATACGGGATATGCTTAGTATGAATTAGTATGAATTAGTTGTGTTTGGCACAATTTTGGTTTGATTAATTAACGAGCCCTGTATACATTTACATATTTATATATGTAAATATAACAGGTAGACATTATACCTTGTCCTCTTTGCGTTGTACATCGGTATACTCTGACGAGAAGCGGTAGATGTTAAGGTCCGTATTTCAGCCGGATTATCTATAGTAGATATTTCCTTCAACGGTCCGCGTGTTTAAATCGTTGTACGATGTCGGCGGATGTCCCGGGATAATGGCGCTAGGTGATTTATCCACCTGATGGGGGACACAGTTAGGGATTTCTGCACGTCTATCACGCGAGTCGAATTGATTTCTAATTCAGCTAGAAAACGTTCGCTAAAACACATATACTGTTTTTTAAAATGCCACACAGATCAATGATCATAGATAGGAGCTACACTGTCCATCAAATAGAATATGTTTTAAATTTTGATTGAAGCTATTAATCAATAATGTTTGAAAACCACATGCTGACTATTTAATATAAAGCTATCCGCGCCCGTTAATTTTCTGTGACTGGCAAAAAATCTGAAGAACGCCGATATTTCACTGATTTTAATGTCTTAATGATACATATTAATTTGCAATTTACGATCTAATGAAGCACGTGGATTCCGTAATGATACAAAGCGATGACATGTAACGCGTTTTACTTATTTCAGGAATACCAACATGAACAAACATTCTCTGACCGGTGTTGATTTAAAACGGTTTAACATACTTATATTTCAATAAAAGCGTAAATTGCAATTAAATCGTATCAAACATTTCAAATGGAATGACTGGGATTCAATGTGTTTTCAACAATGTTTCAAAGTGAGTCCCTGGTGTTTAGACCGTGTTCCACACTATAGGTAAATTAGGGAGCTGCTGTGTGCAATTTTGTTGTTGTGTTTAGTGATAACATGACTAATACGCATGGTTTCTTTGACAGATACCAGTGGGTTTGGTGAAAACCCAAAGTAAAAGACGAGGAGGGGGTGCATGGAGTGTTGTGAGTGAAGACAGAAAACGCGGGGGTAGAGTCGCGAGGCCACTGAGGGAGTCTGGTCTGTGAATTCCTCCACAGAGAAGAGCGGAGAAGACATATTTGACACTGTAGTTTGTGAAAACCAGTATGCAAGTCATGGAATTAACATACAGAGATTATCAGTAAGTCAGACTCACTCACTTAATTTCATCCCCTCCATTTTCATGTCCGACTTGCTTTGCTAGTTCTGAATAAGTAAAACCACAACACATGTGGGTAAACCTATCTAATCCGTGACCCTGAGAGACAATACCTTTTTATCGAATTAAACAGGAATCCGGAAAGATAAGGTTTATATGGAGTTTTCCATCTAGTCAGAATTAAAGGAGAATTTCAAATTGATGCCAGCTTTCTCAATGTCTGATTGAGCATAGATGTAAAGATAGGTTTGTTACGGAAATATCTACTCCGGATAAAGGAAGATATTCAAGTTCTTCATCCATATTAATGGTTCGAGCAACAGTGTATTTTTAATGAAGAATATATAAATGTGATTATAATTTTTATGTACTTTTTTCCAATTTCCAAATCTGAAACAATAGCCGAGTTCATAGAGTACTGTTGGAGGCTGTTTTACACTGACACTTAAATAATATCTAGTCCTGCTAAACATCTTATTATATAAGTTTAAATTTCTGACATGTACAGTGATTTGAAAGGTAAACATTCGAACATGACGATATTTAAGTGACCTGACAAAAATGAAGTACTTTTCGAGAAGAAACTTCGGAGATCGAGGTTAGATCGAGTACACTTATGGTACGTCCCAGGTAACGGGTATTTCTTCAGGTATGGCGAAGGTAAATAAACACCGGAAGTGTATTGACTAAAGTTTCATGTTTATTATTGATATTCGTGATCTTGATCAAAGCAAATGCAGAAAGAACCCTGATTACTTCTCATATTTGTATAAGATTTCATTTTGACACAGACAAATATACTGAAGTAAAGACACTATTTACTCAGTGGTAACAGGCCAAGTTTTCTTCTGCCTATGCTGTCTGGACGACGCTGTCGGAGTCTAGGTGTTGTTTGCTTCTAGATAGATTGGACACTTCTGTCTTAATCTCGCGGTTTTATTTGTCATTTTTAGGCGGAGAGAGTATATCTCGCGAGTCTGTGTATTTGAGTTGCAAACGTCTAAGTCAAGAATCACATGTATCTTCGGACAGTGCATTGCAAATGAGCTTTTTCCTAATCCGGGCATGCTGTATTATAAATAAAACCTCGTTTATCCGGAAATACGAACGTTAACTGCAAAACAAGATATCATCATCTGAACGTTGTATCAATCTAGAGCTTCCAGCTACTTATAAAAAAGTTATCGGCTGTATCATAATCCTATGTACACTAAGATCAGTGTGACGAAATGGTTAACATATTATACACCAAAGAGACAAAAGGCGGTAACAATGTACTGTAGTCAATTCGGCCACACTTCTTCAATAGATGTGCGAGAGTCTGTGGACCCCCTCGTTCCTGTTTATTACTGGCCCACTGAGGTGTATCTAGATGGCTTCCTAAAACAGCCACCAGAAAGGGTTGTTTTCCCTGTCGACTATTTTGAAAATTTCCAAGTAAATGACATGGCCTTAGTGCATATAGGATTATAGTACAGCCGAAATGTTGGTAGATTCCGTACCATCATGAACACTACGTCCGTCAGTTCTAGCACCCTCCACTCTGGTCATTTATCAGATGAAGGTAACCATGTAGTCATCGAAACGTCACACTCTAATCTTCTAATGGTTGTGTTATAAGAACTTCTATTCTATTGATATTGCCGCCCAGAACAAAATGTTCCGACATATATCACACAAAAGTTTCACATATCATTTATATTTTAAATTATATATTTTTGTAAGTTCCAAAACTTTCAAACACAAGCAAAATGTCTTTGATTTTTCGATCATGATACAAAATGGCCAAGCTTGCGTGAATTTAGAATATATATAATCCGAGATAACATCTTGATTAAAGAAAACATTTCTGATTTGTGTTTCCTATTTTTGCAGTAACCGAGTGTTTACTCACACCGAAAAGAAGATGATGGAGCTGGATAGGTTAAAAATCTTAGCCAACAAGCACCTAAGCCGTCTTAATCAGCTCAAAATGCGTTACATCGATTGGTTCAACAGGAAACACACGTCTTTTCTAGATTCCATTAAGCTGATTCATGCTCTTGGCGGTACACTACTTCCGTTTGAGGTAGACAACATTCGCCATTATCGGCGCGTGCGTGATCTATCTCGCCGATTCCCGCGGAACGGGACACCGCGAGACTCTAGTCCGGTGAAAATGGACGAGTTCATTTCATTTTGGGAAGAAATGTACATGCTTAAACTTGAGAACGACGCCCTTTTCGATAGCGTGGAACATTTTTGTCATAGTATCCGGCGGCTGAGACAACCGGAACTAAAGGACGAAATTGATAGACTGCATTACAAACTAAATCTTTTCTGTGCTGAAGACTTCAAGTTCACAGAGCTCAACAACGAACGTGACAATTTGTTCACTTATAAAGTTGCACCACATGACCACAAATATCACGGTCTGGTAAACTTTATACCGTTTCTTCTGGGATATGCCACACGGATATGTTACTGGACCGGTAAATTGTACATAGAAAAATCATAACAAGAAATCAACAATATGAACATGTGACTTCGATCAGCATTCTGATTGGTTAAATCTTAACAAGAAATCAACAACATGAACATGTGACTTCGATCAGCATTCTGATTGGTTTATAAAACTAATGCGACAGAAATTACCAGAATTGCATACGAACAGCTAAGGGCACATGACTTCTATTGGTAATATGATTGACAAAGGAAATTTATTTACAAAACGAGGCTTATTGACCTTACGGTTCCTTTTAATTGGTTTAAGAAAGAAAACAACGCAATTCACATTTCACATACATAACCCTGAGCTGCTGCTAAACTGGTTTAACAAAGTAATATTAATACACAAACCGAAAGAAAAAAAACTGGAGTAATTTCGAGGTTTTCGTCCGTCAGTGTGATGAATTTACCAGCATAATTAAATAAGTGTTGTCGAAAAATGGAGAGGGCTCAAAACATTTAACTGAAATTATAAAAATAGTCTGTGATATAAATGTTGTGAATGTAATTTTGTTATTGTATTTTAGAATCAACTTTCTGGATATTGTTGTCTCTCCGACATAAAATAAAATGTGTTTGACATGCACAGAAAGGTGGTACCAAATTCCACTTTGTCCATTTCCGGTTTGTGTTGGGGCACTTGAACAGAAATCATTTTCAATGCATAAGTTCAAATATCGTATCTAATTTTGATGATACGTTGAACTTTATTCCTATTAAAAAATCGATCTGACATTTTCTTTTGCACGAAATGAACTGTTACTATCGCCATTTAGAATTTATATGTTGCATATTTGTTTATAAATAGTGTATCTAATTTATTTTCTAAACAATGCTGTGCGCGTTATAAGTTGAAAGGTATATTTTGATGTTGTTTTACTTAAATGATATTTTCCTTGTCATAATTTATGAAATAAAAAAAAAATCTGATGTAATTTAAGTCCACGAGTGATCGTGTCAAACGTGGAGGAGGCGATGCCACCAACATGTACAGTCCGTGGGCGATTATCTGCTTAAAATCTTAAAAATCAATGACGGAAAAGATTTTTGAAGGTTTACTGGAGAAAACTGAACTTCCAAATGATTTTATTGTCTTGTAAATGCATTTACATGTACAATGTTTCATGTAATGTTGTCTTTGATATTTCCGAAATGTTCATCCTTTTTCTAATAAAAAATATCCACGTATTGGAGGTCATCATGACCAGTATCAGACTGAACTGATGTCGGCTGAGCTGGCAACTCTGGAGAAGTGGTGCAATATCACATAAATAGGCCAAAGGTCACACAGGATTCCATGACAAGGGTAAAGGTTACAGAAATAGGTAAAAATTTGACCATGATCAAATTAATAGATAAGTAGAGAAGACAACTATGATATTAAGCATGGCCACAAAAGCAGCTGAAATGTTAACCTGGGTTCTTTTGCAAGGACAGAGGTCAAAGAATGGGGTCAAATGTTGAAGGATGAGACTGTTGGTCATGTTTTCTTAATGCTGTCATTGTTCCCAGACTCTACAGTGACGTTTACAGTGGAAGGAGATGTCACTGTATTGTGTTGTGCCAGATAAAACCAAAAGTTGCCTAAAAATACTCCATGTGTCTTTAAAAAAATAAATATAATTCCTCTGCACCTCAGGGGTTCAAATGGAAACAAAAATGCAGGTATTTTTCAGTGTAAATTATTTTTCTAATTGTGAAACCCTTCATGACAGACATATCTGATTTGGGTTGGGAGAGCCACATCATCACAAGTACTGTGTGACAAATCACCAAATAAAAACCAGAAAACTTATCAAATTAAAGCTTATTGTGTTAAATTTTATTTCAAGACGTTGGTTGACCATCATGATTTCTATAAAGCATGCACAGAAAGTTCTACAAACACCATATCCAATACATGTAATTACTTATTGGGCAAGATTTCTAAATCAATGTGAATGTTATTTAATAAACAACTAAATCTTAAGAACAAACAACTATGCTATATTTTCATCTCCTTGTACTTACGAATATAGTTGTGAATCACAAATATCTCAATTGCATAGCCCTTTAAATGAAAATTGGACTAGAAAAAAACATGCTGATAGAGGCAATGACTAACCATAATTAGCTCAAATTTTAAAATGAGATCAAAAGATTTTTTAATGCCATTACACTGACTACACATTAAGAGGGGAGAGATAATTCTCATACAGCTATTAAAACATTTTATCGACCAAAAAAAGCTTTAATATCACTTCAGTAAAGAATAGTTGTATTAATGAAAAAATTCATTTTAAAGTGATGATTTTTTTTTAATGTTATAGTTATTACTCCTAAAAAGCCACAGCAGGCCACTTAATAGGAGGATGTGAAGAGTTACCTCCCTTCCCTTGAATCTCTTCGTTCTTTGAAATTGTGATAAAGATATAACCCTTTCTTTTATTGTGTGCAAAATGGAGCTTTTATTAAAAATTCCCAAGATATATAGATTATAATCTGAATGAATCCTGATTTTGTTTTTTCCCCTTTTTGGTATAGGTCATATAAACCAAAAGCTTATCCTGGCAATTCATTAACGAGAAAATAATTGCACAATAAAAAAAGCGATTCCCTGGTAAAATAATTTAAAAATATGTTGGGTTTTTTTATCAACATAATCAGAGTTTGTTGCTAATTATATTAACTATACTACTGGAACCTGCCAGTAATATTTCACAACTCTTGGTAATATTCTACCTTTCAGACTCAATATAGCACTTTCATGTGTCAAGAATGCATTTCCAGTAAGTATTAAATTCAGTATAGTTTTTATCAATCTGTAGATTTATAAAATGTTGGACAGATTATGACAATAAAATTTATAAATGATAAAAAAAAAATAAATAAATTAATGAAAAAATGTTACAATAGTAATTGAAAACTTCACAGCATTTTGACTGTCACAGAATTTGTCATCATAAACAACTTATAACAAACACACAGATAGACATGAATGAGAGAATAATTCCTTCAGCTAAGGTTGTATCATACCTAACTGAGACATGGACACTTCAGGCTATATGCCACACTACTGTGACACAGACTTAAGGGTGTATGCTACCTTATTGTGACATGGATACTTAAGCCTGTATGCAACCTTATTGTGACAATGGGACTTAAGCTTGATATGGATACTTCAAGCTATGTGCTACATGTAGACTTAAAGAGTACCACACTGTAACAGGGATACTTTAGCCTTCTTCACTGTGTCACAAAGAGATGTATGCTACTTAATTGTCAGATGGAGACTTAAGGATGTATGCTGCTTAGTATAACATAAAGACTTAAGTCTATTACTGAACTTACTGTGATTTGGAAATATGTCTAACTTTGATCAGATTTAATTACAAGGTATACAATTTATTGCGACTATTTATCCTGATTTGAATATTTCCTAACTAAGTAAACAAAATGTTGAGAGTTTCTGTAAGAAAATGATAAATTGAAATATCTGTTATCGTTTGTACCCTGCTACCTATAGATAAATCTTCCACCATCTACTATGTAGTACTCTAGCTGAAAGAAACTAATATACCCTTACACATGATGAGTCTTTGGTTAAAAAAAAGAAATGAACAAACTCACTAGCACCATTATGTGAATTCTTATTGCTTCTTGCCCCAATATATGACAGATAATGTTTGAAAGTTTGAAATAATTTAAAAGTTGAAAACTTATTGAATAAATTACATTCATGAAGATGATAAATCTTTTCTTTGCCATTTATTTCATTTTGAATGAACCGACAGTACAAGAACAATGTGAGGACTACCTGAAGGTAATTTCAGAAAAGTGTGCCCATCATGTCTTCCTTATGTCATAATATTGCTAAACAACACGTTTAGGCCTCACTTAACATAAAATATAGATTCTCAAGTAATTACATGTAGTCTAAAATGAAATACAAAATTTTTGAAACTATTCAAATAATATTTATGATTTATTTATTATACCAAAACATTTCATTGATTTCTTTAAAAATGCAATTATGATTCAAGAAAGTTATACATTTGCAACTATCAGAAAAAATATTAAAATTAGCAATAATTTCTGTGGAAATTTAACTTTGCAGGAGAAATAATTACCACGCATTATAGACAAAAAAATACATTTTAAAATCACAGGGAATAGTGGATTAAAGAATTATTTTGAAGATGTAAGGTCTTGAAATATTGAAACAAATTTCAAATATATATAAAAGCAAAAACAAAAATCATCAGTTGACCTTTTTATTTTAATCACATTTCTGAATCTAAGAAAAGATTCCCTAATCTCAATGATTCTGTTGAAATGCAATTAAGAAAGAATAGCATTTTGAAGCAAAATATTGTCTTACTTCCTCATATGGGGCTCTGCCCAAAGTCCCTAGAGGTCGAATCAACTTCCTGAATTTAACCCACTCAAATTTGAATGAAATCTACCCAGGCATTAAGAAGGAGTAGCATTTTGAAGCAAAATATTGTGTAATTTCCCCTTTTGGGTCCCGTCTCCAAGTCAAATCAACTTTCTGAATTTAAGAATTATTTGCCAACGCCTACTGATGTTACAGATAAAGTTCGAATGAAATCTGTCCATGCATTAAGGAAGAACAGCGTTTTGAAGCGAAGTTTTGTCGAACTATCCCATCCCAGGTCCTTCGAGGCAAAATCAAATTTCTCAATCTAAGAAATGCTCCTCCATCCCCAATGATGCTTCAGACCAAATTGGTTGAAATCTGCTGTGACATTAAGCAGGAGTAGTATTTTAAAGCAAAAGTTTACAGACGGCAGACTGCATGTCGCACGACTGACAATGCACGATAGCTATGTATATACTAAAATTCACACTGAACAATTCTGATTTATACCGAGGACAATGCATATTTTAGATTCTGATTAAATATAACCATCCTAGTATAACAGTTTCATATTGACTCATTAAATAGATTTTTAATGGGTACATGACAAAGAAAACCACTGCTCCATATCAAAGTTGTGATTAGTGTCTGTAATAATAACATGTCTATATATCTTACAATAAAACCAAACACACTTTTAAGGCATACAAAATTTTCTTCATGCAGGAAAATTGTTGTGTCATGAAGTGAATTTACCAGCAACATATAAAGAAAGTCTCGCTTTGAGACTCTGTCATTTGTGTGACAAAAGAAGTTTGCCAGAAATCATGCACTGAGGAAGACTTGAAGTAAAATTTTCTATCTCAATTACATATTTAGAAAAATTACTGATTAGAAAATTGTAAGTGCAAGAATTTTAAATGATGGTCAGAAAAAGATAAGAAGAAAGAAAGGAAAAATACAAGGAAAAATACAAGGAAAACGCATTACTACTTCTGATTGATTCCAAAAATGCTAATTGAAATTCTGTCTTTGGTATATAACTTCTGTAACATACTTAATTTAGTGCAAATCTGAGTGTTTTATCACTTTTCAGCAAATTAGCACAGTGATGAAATAGCACATTGAAAACACTGTCTATATACAACACAAATGGAAATTCCAAGTAGAGAAGTGATTTCATTGTGAAAAGTGATAAAATAACTTTACCACTAAAATTTTTACATTTACAGTATTCACAAAGAAATGGAATTCATCAATTTATCTCACAAAATAAGTTTATTCATCTGAAATTTCTGTAGGAATAAATTTCGACATACCAATAAATTGAAAATTTGGTCGATAAACATGACCAGAATAAATCCCATATGCTGAATTCAACTTTTCATTTTCACACAATGTTTTATAATCTCTCTGAAATGTATACATTTCATCTATAACATGAAACATTACTTCTTATTTTTGCATTATTTGTGAACAGGTCAAAGGGGTGACAGTTGTACTGGAACAAAAATTAAGGGTGGACCTAGCTGTCCGGGGTTCGATTCCCAGAATGGATGTGAAATGGTACAGGGTCACCTGCCAAACCACATAGGTTTTCTCCGTGTACTTGTAAAATTATCCTGTATAGTAAAACGTCTTAAATCCGTCTTGACAACAAAAAAAAATTAAAATGGAAGATGAGAGAGAAAAAAAAGCATTCAGTGACAATATAATTTATTATAACTTTCAGATTGTGATATTCTAAACGTCGATTTCAGACAGAACAATATTTTTTTTTCTTCCTTTCAAAATAATTCTTTTTACACATGAAAATGCATGATACTTGTTAAGGCAGTGGAAATTGAGACTGTAGCATATAGCCAAGGACAATAAATTAAAAAGATAAAAAACAAAACATACATGACTCATGTTATCTTACCCAACAGATGGCCAGAATTGTCCGTCCTTCATATCTGACTAGAAATATCCTCCTTTCATCCATACTTCAAATCTCTATGAAATCTAGCTGAGGTTTATTTTTAGGGCTGTTACAAGTAGAGTGCAACATTACTTTTCAGTAAACAAGAGGGCCATGGCCCTTAATGTTCATCTGACAATTGACGAATTGATTGACAAAGAACAGAATTCACTGATGGTGGTCTGACATCTGACAAATCTGATGCTTTCAAATTTTGAACATTCCTTGAAAGTATCAGAAACTCAGAAATGGTAGGCTATGTAAAGGAAAAACAGTTGCACCAACATGTTGCAAAATAACTACTGTGGTTAGCATGTTGAAGTTTTGATCAGACTTTAAAGTAAAAAACAAATCATCTCTTTCTTTTCATTACAAAATAAAATTTTGGACCAAAGCGTAAAAATAAGATTTGGTCAGGACAACCTCAGAAACACTTCATTCATGTTTGATATTATTGTCACTCCCTGATAATGTTTCAGGGCAAATTTGGTTGAAATCTACCCAGGTATTAAGAAGGATTTGCTTTGAAGCAAATACTAGCTATGTAAATACCATTCAAAAAGTGCAATTTAGCATAATCATAACTTAGCAAAATTTTTCCAGCACTAAGCACAAAATTTATTTTACTGTTGAAGAACATATGTTTAGAGTAATGCATTACTTCAATATGTTTTACTGTTGACAAAGACGGGACAGCAAATAATTCCCACTTGGATGGGTATCTGGGTATACATTTTTTAACCTGATCACTCCTCCAACCTAACCCATCTCTGTGTTCTTGTAACAGCCCTATTTATAATGTACTATTCCCAACAATATTCAGGGTGCACATATGTGCCCTGAACTTTTTAGACAAACCAATGATTGTGCGGTATATAATTAACATCACGGCCGATAAGCCTCTGCTCAAAACACTGATAACTCAAGTCATATACGTTTTGTAGTAGGTCCTATTTCATATATTACTATATATAATATATTTAACAAGAGGGCCATGGCCCTTAACAGTCATCTAATAACCGATGCGTTGATGGACAAACCACAAGATTGCAGATGATAGTCTAATTGCCCTCCTCTATTAATTTTTCAGACAAAATTTAAATGAAATCTATTAAAACCTTAAAATACTGTAAATTTCCTTTTCGGTGGCTTGCCCCAAGACCCTAGGAGTCCAATCAACTTTCTGAATTTAAAAAATGACAACCCACTTTCAATAATGTTTCACACCAAATTTGGTTGAAATTTACCCAGGCATTAATAAGGAGTAGCATTCTGAAGCAAAATATTGACTAACTCTCCTTTTAAAGCCCCATCCCTAAGACTTTAGGGAGCGAATCAACCTCCTGAATCTATGAACTGATTTTTCACTCTCAATGATGTTTTAGACCAAATGTGGTTGATATCTGCTTAGGCGTTAAGGAGGAGTAGTGTTTTAAACAAAAGTTTACAGATGGCGGAGGGCACACGACAACGGATGATGCACGGATGATGCATGGATGATGCATTTAAAACCAAATGTCAATATAATTCAAGATGTCCGCCTTCTATGAATGTTTGAAATGAGAGGTTCTATTATTTCCAGGAATCCATGTTCAAATTCTTCCTCAGAGAACCGAGATATAGAGTCACGTGCATTCTTCCTTATGTCAAGTCGTTCCCGTGGAGTCAGACTAAATATTGTGTCCATAGCATGAGAATATGATTGGACATCTTCAGCCAGGTAACCTGTTATCTGGTCATGGTGATTGACCACTATGTCCAGTTTTGGCCCTCCTGAGTTGTGAGCCAGGACAACAGTCCCTGCAGCCATTAATTCCACAACACCTGTAAAGAAGACAAAATTTTAAGGGAAAACCTTCATGGTTATTTTCCACAAATTATAAGGTAGAGAAATATAGAGGATGACACAGATATATATGTATGTCATCAGCATTGTTCATCAATATTCAACGTTAATAATTTAAAACGGTCATTCAGGAAATAAAAAAAAAAGTTTCCCAACCCTCAGGAAAACTGACAAAATCGTAAAAACTTTATTTTAAAAAATGACTACCAAGTTTATTTACTACCTAGTACATTTAGACAAATTGTGACATAAATCTCTATTATGCAATAAAAATTTATAACTACAAAAAATCAGATTAAAGTTTTCATTTGCATTTCACTGCCACTGTATGATCCTTCTAATGAAGTTAGAGGACAATGAATGCCATTTTTAACAATCAGATTGTTTAAGATAAAACTTTAAAATGCTACCATTAATATATCAGTAAATTTGTCAAAAATTGATGGAAAATAAATTACTGAAAATGTTGATTATTAAATTAATAAATAAATAAAATTTCCATCAGCTAACTTTATCATACCTAATACTAGCAATACATGTAGAGAGTTATTTCCCTTGTATTATAACTAGTCAGCAGATGATAGATGTTTTAAAATTGTTGAGGACATGAAAAGTTAAAGCTGGAAATGTGGTTTTTTCCAGAAGTGTACATACCGATACCAAAGTGTTCATTCCACATGGTATGCAGACCCACCACTGATGTAGCCATCAACTCCTTCAGCTCCTGGAAACTCACATTAAGTTTAAATTCCACGTATTCTGTAATATCGAGTGATTCACACTGCTGTTTTAAACATTCTACTAGGTCATTATCTCCCCTGTTGCGACAGCTTCCCACAAGAATAAGTTTATATTTATTTCGTTCTGTCTCTGGTTTTTTCAGCAGAAAGTGATGAAAGGAATCAATTTGTAATGCATGGTCCTTTTCAGGTCTAAACTGGGCGATAGATACAATGTTTAGTGTTGGCGAGTCAATCTGTTCCTTTAGGTAGATTTTGGTGAAGTCTGATGTGTCACAGGGTGGGAACAGTATGCTGGTGTGGACGGTAGGTTGCCAGAGTTGTTTGATGTGACCGTAGGTCCAGCTAGAGTTGACCATCACAGCGTGACACCGTTTACCAGCCAATCCGTAAAGATATGCAAAGGCTTTGTAGTAATGAAGTTTCACCGTGCTGAGGAGTCGGCTCTGTGAGATAAATGTTGCATTATTAAAAGCCTCTGTACGTGACGCCACTTTTCCCAACATGTCGGTACTTATCGTGGGATAGTGAACGTAACAACATACCTGACATCTTCCAAAGTATTCAAACAAAGGAATAGTGAACGTATACCCCATGGTATCTATGAAGACATCTGGTACAAAGGCAAGCAACGCCTCCCAGCCAAGGAGAACTGAACCAAGACTCTGACCTAACAGGGTGAACCTGGGGTACTTGACAGCTTCAACCCATCGACGACGCTTCAGAAAGATGAAATGGACATGTGACTTTAGGGTGATATTGAATCGCTGACGGGCACGCTCCAGAATCTGTGGACCAGTAACATCCGTGTCTCCTGTGTATACAACACAGTTGACATTGGGATACCTACAAATACAGACAAAACCATCATACACTGATCTACCATACATATCCAGCAATAAGCTCATGTTTTGTAATAAGCCCACCTCTCCAACTTTGCCCCGTTTAAAATCTTTGGTCCAGTTTTCATAACCATCATAGTCAGCTTCATCAATATATTCATTTTATTTATCTATCTTATAACAATTGAAAAAACAAGTTATTTCTTTGACTAATCACTCTAGTTGGCTCGGATGTAGGCAGGTGAGCCAGGGATCTCACTGTGAGAGAAATCAAGAATCCATGGGGAAATCCCAAACAAATGACCACATGCTTTTTCAGGTCTGTCTTAAAGAATCAAACCTCCACATGTCTAGGCTGAAAGGCAAGTGTATTATCGCTGCACCATCTGACCACCCAGCACCATCAATCAAATGTATATCTCTGTCTGCCTTCATTAATTCTATTTTAGACTTCATATCTAAAACAAATACCCTTAACTCTAAGAAGTAAATTGTTTAGTAATTCTAAGAATACTGGTACTTTAAACCAGGTAAAAATTTTCAAAACATCTCATCTGATATTTGTAGTGTTATCAATATTTTTGTTGGATTTCTTGTTAAATGAGGATGGTGTACAATTTTACTTGATTATCATAAAAAGAGAACATCGAAAAAATTATGATATCTTTAAATTTCAATTGTCAGTTACTATGTTTTATTTGTTTATACAGGGATTAATGTTCTCAAAACAGCCAGGGTTGTATGGTGTCGTTGACAACAGATAAGTTCAAAATGGTTGGAAAGAGAAATGAAGGAGTATTCAATGTTTTTGAAACAAAATCTCTGTCTATACATAAATTATTGGAAAGTATCTAACAAGAGGGGTTGTGTTGAGTCTCTCGTCTCTATAAGTAGATTATAAGTATTGGACCAGGGTTTTGTGTCCTTCAAACGATATCATGCGGAAAGCAGCATCCAGACGGACGGAACCCATTTGAATATCCCCCCCCCAACTTTGTTGAGCAAGGGATAATAAAAAGTGAATTTAATCCATAGTCCGATGGAAAGTCTCAATTCACACTCTACATACTAATGTTAACCCTATTTCCCGCTAATACACATGAAAACAGACATGTGCTCATGGCATCTGTGTCATTGTCATATCCGACATGAAGGGAAATAAATAAAACCTATCAATTTCTAAACAGTTCAATGTGTAAGTGTTTCAAAAGATAATCAAATTATAATCAACATATTTTTCAAAGTCCAAAACAGGCCACTGTCTTTGACGATTGTTAGTTTTCTGTCTGTATGGTTAGTGTGATATTTTCAACCACTTTATCAAGGTTTGGCATGATACTCACTAGGATAGTCTATTTAGGTGTATTATAAGCATTGAACCAGGGATCACGTCAAGCCCCTAGTCTATATTGGCTTATTATAAGCATTAAACCAGGGATCGTGTTGAGTCCCTAGTCTATATAGGTTTAATAAGCATTGAACCAGGGATTGTGTTGAGTCCCTAGTCTATATAGGTGTATTAAAGGTAATGGATCAGGTATTTATTAAAGTCCATATGAGAAGCTTGTAACATATTAACAAGAACCTTGACATAATTTTCGAAATTTACAAAAAATAAAATATTCACAACTATTCAGGGACAATCTTTGTCAACCCATCAATCAAGGTATCCCTAAGGAAGGCCTTAAATTAAAGATTTTTAAAAGAAAATGCTTTCTGGAAATGGCACATCTCTATGATCAAATATGTCTGAGATTAAACAAAAGACTTGTGCTTTTGTAACAAGAGATCTTACAGGGATATTGCCATCAACCATTGTTCGATATCTATTTGTTCTTTAAAAGTTGGATCTTTTCCCTTATTTGCTCTTTTCTTCTTGTCTGTTTTTGCTCTTAATTATATGAAATTTGAACATTCTTTAGAAGAAATAGCGATGTAAATCTTTCAATGTTGAAATCCAAGATGGCCACCTGTCATCCATGTTCTTTTTCTGATCAGTCCAAAACTCAAACAGGTACAACAATGGAGGGAGGGGAACCATCATATGAAATATAAGATAGATTCACCAGGTACTTCTCGAGAAGTACCATTAACAACCTTTCTTTTTCGAAATCCAAGATGGCCATCTGTGGGCCATTTTGTTTTTCTGATCAGTCCCAACATCAAAGAGGCACAACTAGGGAGCAAAGCGAAGAAAGATCCATCTAGCACTTTTCATGAAATACTGATAACAGAAGATTTTTATGGATGGAAGACAGATGGACCATTGATGCAGGGTGATTTGAATAGCAAACCATCTTATGATGGCAGATTAAAAATGAAAACAAAAGGAAAAAATTTTCTTCAAATTTAACAAGTGGCCAGAATACAAAGGTTCATCACACTTAGTGATAGGTGGAGTCAGGGAGAAGAAAACCCTGTCACCAACCAACCACCCAATTGGTTTTACTTATTGTTGCTTTACATCCTATTAACAGTCAGGACTACTGATAAACACAGTGAAATGGAGTCGGCCACTATGTCCCCTAACCCACCAATTAACTTAACAATAACTTACTATAATATTCAGTTTTACATCTCTTCTTGCATGTTGAAATATGTGTCAAGACTACCTCATAGACTAATACATTATCTTTGTTGTACACCTTGAATCTGAATTCAGAAATTCTTAAATTCAAAACAATATCATCTTGAATCCAGATACAACTTTTTACTGAGGAGGACCAGAAATAGCAGTAGACAGTCCTAAGGACTTTTTAATTAGGGGTGGTTCTGATCCTCACCTTCGCTGTATTGATCTAATGGCGACCCACAACACCCTCTCTCCACCGCCACCTGCATTACAATATGGGTGGAAAAATCCAATGACAGGAGTTATCTCCCCTGATTTGGTTTTTCTAATGTGTGGAAGCTGGAATGCTGAGCGGCGTTGTATCCAGTACCTCAGGAATGTGGTTGCTATGGCAACAACGATGATGAATATGATACAGATGCATATCAGTGAAGTCAACATTTCGGACAGAAAACTGCAAAATATGAGAAAAAAAAATTGTAAATTCTTTTGATCAGTATTTTTGTATATTTACAACCCTAGTTTCTAAAACAGAAAGCAGTAATTTTAATACAAAGCATGATATTCACAGCTTGTAGGCATCAACCATTGTGATGTACCATGCACCATAATAATCATTAAAACAATGTTTGGAAAGTGTCAAGATGGATCCAGATTTTTGTTCCTGACAAAATTTTTCACTATGTGGAGAATGAATCAAAGGAAATTTGAACATGAACTTTGCTTCCTTCAAGGCACAACCAGACCTGATCAAACCAAATTCAAGGCCATTTCATGGCCTTTTTAAGATCTAAATGAAATTAAGCAGACAAAAATAAAGACAGATTACATGTACATTATTTTTCATAATGTCTGATCATGCTTTAGACTTAAGTGCTGATTCATATCACACATTTTCTAAAAGTCTATCAGAGTGAGATACTAAATGCAATTCCATTTGAACTGTCACCGTTTTAATTGACTGATTTAAACAAAGATTTAGTCTTCCAATTTGGATTAAAATTCCATTTCCTCTTATTCATGTCTGTGTGTGATTGTATATAATAGTGAATTTCCTATTCAAGGACTTTTCATGACCAAAAATAAATTTGAAGTCATCCAAGGCCACACAGTAAAATTTTGACTTTCCAAGAGTGTTCCTAACCTGTACTTGATTCATTTCATAAAACTACTTTTGTTTGTTGATCAGATTTGTATGAACGGAAATCTCAGAATACATCATGTAGACAAGAGGAAGGCTAGCACATGGTATCTTTAATCTCCTGTTTCTAAACGTATGTTTCAATTTGCAGAGGTTCAAGCACCAAGTGATAGCTTATTTCAATGAAGCAGCACTTTTTCCTGAAAATCTTTGAAATTATCAATTTGAGAAAAAGAACTATTTTGGCATGTATTGATCACCTCAAACTCAAACAAGTTCACTTAATTCAGTATGATATATAAACAAGTTTAGAATCTATTTATCATATTCCTTAGACAATAAGAGCAACTCTTATTGATTTCCCTATATGACAGAAAAAAAAATCCATGCAGACATGATGTTTTCCCCCTTTAACTTCAGATACAATAATTTGTGATTTAGTTATGAAAGCAATTCTATTACTAAACATACAAATGTGTGTCTTTTTTATATTAAGGACACGAGTACTTTTACGTTTGAACAAGCTACTGTCATGTGACTTTTTTTTTAGCTTAAAGCTTTTTTAAAGAGCAGTTACAAAACGACTTAAGTTAACAGCAATAGTATTGCCAAAGCGGCGGACGTACACAGATAAATACCGATGTGGATCTTCAGAACTACTGTTTATTTTGACCAATTCCCCTGTAGATGAATGTCTGTTAGTCAAATTAACACTGTACGAAGACGCAGCTTGAACAAGTTTTTTGATAATTTTTCAACGAAACGCGAAGTTTAATGCAGACATTTTTCAGTAAGAAAAATAAAAATGTTTCCTTAAATAAGTTTCATTTAAAGGTAAAAATATCACAAGTATTATATGAACGCATCCATATATGCCATGCCCCATTACGTGTTCGCATCACGACTCAAGTAGGATAGTATTGACCTGAAATATTGTTGAATCAAGCCAGCGAACTGTTTCATCACCTCCATATTGTTTTACAAACGTGTTTCCGGTTCCTGTGAACAAATATATCGTTCAGAAATATTACGTTGAAATAAGTTTAGGCTTGATGCTTTATAATCAAAGAAATAACCTATTTCCATGACCACTGATATGATAACGAAATTTAGTGTAATGTATCTTATCGTCTTGAAATAAACTTGACACAAGCGTGTTCTTACCTCCCCTGCTTTGGAGCTCTTCATTACAGGTGTTCATTTCCAATGGAGCGGAACCGTCAAAACAAACTACTTGACTATTTGTTTTTATTGCTTTCTGCAAAAACAAAACATCCAACGACTTGGAAAACTACACTGAGGTAAGCTTAATCGTTTTGATGAATATTTCCACAGCTAACATAAGTCATCACATACAAGAAATCTTCCGATAAAAACAAACAAACAAAAAATTGCGTTTTACAATGGTTTACTACTACTAACACATAGACTGCTACCAGAAACCACATTTTCCTGATAGGCCCAACAAACCGTAACAAAAGAGTTCAAATGCAATTCGGACTACACAATATTGCTTGCTCAGTATATAGATGCATTCCTATCTTTATCGATCCTTGGTTTTACCATATTCCTTTCATTATACTGTAGTCTTTTAAAAAATATTTTGCAAGAAATAAAATACCGAGAGACACTCACAAATTTTGTATAGCTATAATACATTTAATCACATTTTAACATCCATATTTATTCCAAGGTGTAGTGTTGTTGAGAGATGTTTAACTTGGAATGAGACCAAATAAACATAACAGCAATGTTTAAAGTATAGCCGAGAGCTTTTTGGCTACACACACAGTGGAGTGACTCAACTGTGTTGTCTCATAAATCATTTTTATCCTGCAGAAAGCCCAGACAGGCAAAACTTTGACCTCTGACTGAAATTAGAATACAACAGTTGTTATGGTTTCTACTGAAATTATAGTAGATATAGGTGGGCTATTACCAAGCATGGGCTTCTTTTCTGATAAATATGTTTTTTTTTTGTAGCTGTTACATAATCGGTTTAGAAATGCTGACATGCTCAATGACCTGCTGGTTACACTAATTTAATTGTGATATCTTGTGATAAGTAATCTCATAAAAAACTGCAAGTTACAGCCCTTTGTGGAACACTCTTTCTTGGGCACTGTCAATTTCAATCACAAAATTTATAAATGGAAATAATGGTTGAGTGGCGTTGTACAAGGAGTAAGAGTTATAGCCCTTTGTAACAATGTAATTTATCAATTCTGAATTCTGAAAATGTACTTCTAACTTCCCACTTTAACACCAATGTAGTGAATACAGAGTATGAGAGACAGTCTATAGTCAATAAGTAGCTCCTGGCATAACTATACTATACTATAAATATAGGGAGGTAGTGCAGTGCTTCAAATGGCAGCTACATAATAGATCCAAGCAGGGGAGTTTTTACTTCACAATTAACACGGACGATATCGTGATTTTGGTGAAAGATAAACCTTAATTGTGGGTTGATTTAATGGTGGCCATGCATGATCGTGATCTTGCTGGAAAAACATTGTGTTCGATGATGGTATTAGTTTAAAGTTCATTGGAGAACTAAATTTACATGGTGAGAGTTGTTGTTGAAACAGAAGATGGATACCCTTCTACAATAACTAGTCTTATTGTCTTAATTTTTCAGGGATGTCTGTGTAAATCTTTCTTTTTTTTCATATTTTGCTATTGTTTCATCAATTTTGTATTAGTTTTTATGCTAAGAGCATTTTCAATGCTCTTCAGCATGTTGCTGTCGCCCCTGGCCCTGAGTATCAGTACTTCGTTTTCATTGGTTCATAAATCGAAAGTTTACTCCTACTCCATCTGCCGGACATTACCGTAATCATTGGATTATCGCCCCTACAAGTTGCTGATCCTAGTCATTAAATGAAACAACCTTATCGACATTTTCTTCATTACTTTAAATCAAGAAAACGTTTTGTGTTGTGTATTAATGATAATCAGACATCGAAATTTGTAAATACAATGACAAAGACTCACGTTTTATGGTGGTAAATCTCGCGAGGCGATGCCAATATGGCGGCTGAACTTTCTTTTCCGCGCGATGCATTGTGGGAGTCATATCTTTCTTTTTTTTTTCTTTTTCGAAAATTTTCATCCCGTTTAATACTGTTGAAAACTTTTGAAAATACTGAAATATGTAGTTGAAAATAAGAATGAAACTAAAATAAGAATGATTTAGAGTAGCATAAAATTTTGACGGAAACAGCCGGGGTGCTCGGTGCTGCCCCGGAAAGAAGACGGCGGCTGAAAGAAGATGTAGGTAAGTATCACTATATATATAAGCTGAATTTAGTGTCAATACTTATACTGAACTAGCAATTGCATTTTTTGCAACAATTCATTTGAAATGAGCCATCGCATGTATTGAATTTAGGCTCGACGCGCAAGCTGGGCACTGCCGCCATGGCACTTTTTTTCAAAATAGTTTCAAGACTTTTCCTTTGGCTTTGAAGCAGTATGCATTTGAAAAATGTTATGTAAGCATCTAGCACATTTTTGTTGCTTCCGTAAAGTATTTCAGTATTTTGAAATGGATTTATTTTTGAATGATCGTTTCATAATGGTCTCATTGCAGTCACTTCTGTCAGTGGCCCAACATATCGGAAATTAAGCAGAAAAAAAACTTATCCGTAATATTGTACTGTACTACTTACGCTACCGTGAATAGATCTAGGAATCTATCTGTGTAATATATCGATTTTACTTTAAAATATCGGTCACTGTCCGTGCTATTGTAGATCTAGCTCTTTCAAATTTTTAATCGGAGATAATTTATAAGTACCCCAAGGCCAGGATATGAGTACCCCAAGGCCAGGATATGAAATCGTACGGGAACTCTACAGGTATGCCAATTGTAAGGTTTACATGTGAAGTTAATATAATTAGTTTTAGCTTAAATTTAGTTTTTGTCTTTCTGACATGATGTCTCATTAATTCTGTTGAAGAGTGATGCATGTGAACGATTGCAATATAAAGATTGGGAATAATGAAGATGTCAGTTAACATCTGAATCCCGGAAGGTGTTTTAATAAAGATTAGGATAAACCTAGCAAAGTGTTAGATCCCAGTGTGAATGTGTAAAGTGTAAGGTCCCAGTGTGAATGTGTAAAGTGTAATTGGTACAATTCTTATTATGCCTGAACTTTTAATATATGTACTGTATTTGTTCATTTCATTTCAGTATTATGTCAACTGCATCCACTTGCAGTTCAACACTTTTGATTCATCAATTTTACACAGCCCTAGACTCAATATTTGTCATTAATTGTCGACTGTTTTTTAGCGTTTTAGAGTTTTGTTTCCATGGTGAATGGAATGAAATGGGATAAATAGTCAAACCAATACCCCTCGAGAGCTAATTAAGATATTGCAGTATTACCACTTTGGGCCTTATTAAAAGTCAAATTGAAACTTTAAGAAACTCAAGTGAGTACAACAATAAGATGTCAATAATCAATGAAACTGATTGATTGAGAGGACATTTTCTTAGTACAGTTAACCAGGCTTTGTAGTGGTTTGTTCAGAACTGTAGTTCTGGTTAAGTAACCATTAATTATGTCCTTTCAGCTACAATGACATACATTTTTGAAATACCTCTACTGTAGCTAAATGTGGCATTTGTAATAGACATAGCCAAAGTTAATTTTGTGATAGAAGTAGCCAAAGTTAATTTTAGGATCAGTTAGGACAGCTAATGTTTGTAACGGGCATGGGTTCAATTACATGATGATGTAATTAAATAAATTTAAATTATGTTATGAAAATGGCATTTCCATTACAGGTATTTTCAAAATAATTAGATTACCATTACATGACGGTCCAATGTAATTAATTAAATTACACAATCTCTGTATGACCATGGTCGAGATATTATTATTTTGCTAGCTGTCCATCGCTTAATAATTTGACAGTCCTGAACGTCAAAATAAGTAATTACAGTATATTTAATATAGACTCCTATTGGGAAGTTCAAGACTATAAGCTTATACAGAAGTGTATATTTCTTGCACATAATCATAGCAATAATGAAATATAGTTATTTATTTCCCTTACTCTCTTTCAGGAGGTGGATGTCCCTGAAGAAATGAAATCTGGAATGGTAGAAGGTATCTCTATTGATTCTTCTAACTTGGAATTGGCTATTATGACCAACAATGGATTTGAGGACCTTATGGTGGAGAAAAACGTCCTTCTTTCCGGCCTCCAATTAGATGTTGAAGATGATTATTCACTTGAGGAGATGCTAACAACCATGTTGCCTTTTAAGGTCACAGTACTCTCTAAAGGCGGCAATATATTTACCATCACGAAAGAAGAATCAACAAATGGCAGAAACTTAAAAAATGTGGAAAAGATCTTCGTATACTGCATTTGTAGTAAATTTGTATACAATCTTCAATTTACTTGAGTAGAAAGATTCACTAGTTATACCAAGTTTGTGTAGAAAGGATCACTGTATACTGAGTTTGTAGTGTACATAGAAAGGTTTACTTATTTATTTTTTTTCTGAGTTTAGTGTATACAATATATATAAAAAAAACTTTTTGTAGAAAAGATCACCACATACTGAGTTTGTTGTTTACAAATGTGTAGAAAAGATCGCTGTATACCAAGTTTATGGTTTACAACTGTCTAGAAAAATCACTGCATACTGAACATATTACAACTTCTGTTTAAAACCTTCATTTAAACTTAGGCATGTATTTTTTTTTTATTCATCTTAAAAGTCCACCTACAACAATTTTGTGTATGCAATCTTGTACTAGGATATTGACATGACAAGATTACATTGCTGATCAAAGCATGGAAAGAATACTGTATCTAAAAACTGAATAAAACAAGATATAAGCATCTTTATCATGTTTTTATTATTATTATTATTTTTCAATGATGCCTGTCCACATGGAATTTGTAAGCACTCTTGTG